AAATCCTGTCTTTCAAGGATGGGTTTTAGACCAATGAGGAAGAGGAGGCTGAAGGACCGTCATCTCCAGATGTTGGTGGATAATGCCAAGAAAACAGTGTCTTCAAATGCAACAGGCCAGATGCACGTATGAACTCAGAGACTATACAACACACAGGAGACCTGTACGAATTCAAGACAAACAAAATTTCAGCATGGAGATAGATGGTGAAGTGGACACAAAGTCCCACCCCTAATTTAGAAGCTATTTGCAATCGATGCAGTGATACCTGCCGAGGGAGGAAAGATAGGTTGTCTCCAACCGAGTGCCTCTGGGTATGTCTACCACATTCCATGGAAGGCCTCGTGCTCAGGAGTCTGACTAACACAAATGAATTCCATGTTTCCTGTGCTGTTCTGTTACGGTTTCATCTCTTTTGTCTTAGGAGCTTTTAGGGGGTTTTGTTTTATTACTTTTGTTTTTGTTTTCTGGGAACGGGGTGGTTGTTGATAGGAGCGTAGAACATGAAGGTGGTTGAGTGGGGAGGTGGGGAGGATCTGGGATGACTCAGGAGAGGAAGAATATTATCATAACATGAAAATTTTAAATAAACTTTTTGAAGGAGTGTATAAATTATAGCAGAAGGTAAAGGTTCTGTAATAGAAGAGAAACTCCAAAGAAAGAAGCCGTGTCTGGGTAGCGGATTTCCTTCTGAAGTATTATTGCTACACCTGCCCCAGGGACAGAGGATGGAAAACCAGGGCAAATCTTAGTAGTCTGTGTGGCTGGAAGAAAAGCTAGTAGTTCACGGACTAGCATGGATGGAGGTGCTTGGAAATAACCCAGCTCCCAGGTGAGAGTTCAGATACTATACCTGAGAGGTAGGGACAGATCAAAGGTGAGTCCAAGTCTTGTAGAGGTTGCTGGTCAGCCATGGACCAGTGTGTGATTGCCTTGACGAGTCCTCCCGCTTGTTGCTTACTGCCTGCAATTGTGGTTGGTTCATTCAAGACAATAGTTGACATGGCAGAGAATCTTGTTGGGAAATTGGGATCTATTAAAAACAAACAGTGATGATTTGAGATAAAAAAAAATAATTCTGAAGTTAAGAACGTCAACAAATTGTTTTCCTAGCGTATTAGACAAAGAGTGGGTCAGAGCATAGCTCGCTGGAAGGTCTGGATCAGGACACAGATTAGTGCGATATAGATTAGTGTGAAAAGAATGGTAGATACAGAAAAGAAAGCAAAAGACAAGAGGCTCATGCTGGGCATTGAAAAGGCATGAGAGGAAAAATGGCTGGAGATAACATGAGAAATTAAGGCTGAGAGCTTCTCCTGAATGGATGAAAGACATCAAGCCTCAGATTTAAGAAGCCGTGCAAACTGGAGAGAAGTTCACACTTGCCCATGCCAGAGCAAAACTGTCAAAAAGCAAACAAGATACAAAATTTTAATCTTCTGAAAGGAAAAATGAGATGAATTATTTCATTTTTCAAAATAACAGCCATATAAGCATATCCATCAAAATTCTGGCCAATACCAGACATCTTAAAATAGTGGAGTGTTTTCGCCCTGGGTTTGGAGCATCACAAGATCTGCCATCACCACTTCCACTGCCTTTTGTCAACAAAAGAGTTTAGCTGACTCAGTGTGGAAAGGAAACAGCAAGAAGATAAGAAAGGCTTGGGGGTAAAAGTGGTGCTTTGTGGGTAGACAACCTAATTTTATTTTGGATACGATATGCAAAGACTTAGAGATCATATTGTTATAGTTATTAAACAACCCTAGCAAAGTCTCTTTTCATAAGATCAGTATATTGGAAACAATTTTATTGTATATTCCAACAGTGAGAAAACAGAAAATAAAGATTTTTTTTAATACCACTTACAAAAAAGTCAAACCACAAGATATAGAGGAATAAATCTATCAGGATATGTTCAGGAGCTCTACTCAAAAGAGTATTAAGATAATACAAAAAATACTAGGATAATAATAAAAGAAAAGATGATCTTAACACACAGACACATCCCATGTTCTAGACTAAAAGGTAAAGTATTGTAAAGACATTAGCCCTAGATATGTCTGTAGATCTAAGCCCATTGTGAAAGTAATTGCAGGAGCACCAAAGACAGACAGACAGACAAAGACAAGAGAAGGGGGAGGAAGAGAAGAGGGGAGACAGGATTGAATTTATGTAGAAATGCAAAGGGACAGGATAGCCATCTTGGGAGAAAAAAAACAAAACAGCCGAAAAACAAATCAGATATTAAAACTTGAAAAGTTAAGGCAGGATGGGCGTGGGCTTGTTTCTGTTTTGTTTTGGGGTGTTGTTTGGTTGTTGTGGAGCCTGCATTTCTTTCTGTGTTTTTGAGGCAGGGTTGCAGTGTGTAGACATGGCAACGGAAATAGAATTTAGCTTGGCCTTGTTGTACTCTGCACATACAACTGCAAGAAATTAGTGGAATTTGCTAAACATTAAACATGGAACCATGTGTGGGTATGAGTATTTGAGAGCCTGTTTATATGTGTAACTGTTTAAAAAGCGCCATGTACAAGGGCTAGGAGACGAATAAGCCGGGAAAGTGCTAACCACGCATGCATGAGGACTTGAGTCTGGGACCCAGCACCAGCATGAGAAGGCATGTTTAGAGGCATACACTTCCCGTGTCATCACTGGGGAGACTGGAGGATCCCCAGAGTGTACCTTCCAGCCAGCCTCACCTAACGGGCAGGCTGCAGGTCCCGGTGAGAGACTGTGTCCCTAAAAACAAGGTGGGTGACTCTGAGAAACAACAAAGGCTGCCTTCTGGGCTCTACCCACAAGTCACACATGTGCACACACATGCACAAATACACACTAAAAACATGATTTCTATAAAAATCTTGATAGACGATGTAGAAATGAATCACTCTTCTCTTATCTGAATTGTAACCAGAAGTCTGAATTTAAGACAGAAAACAGGGAAAGGTTTAACCCATTGGATGAAAACCCTTTTCGTGGCATCACTGAATGAAACTAGAAGTTCTTTTTTTTTTTTTTAACCTATGTGAGTAACATCCCCGTTTCTTAGGATTGGGAAATGGTGAGAACTTTCTTTTCGCTTCGTATTTCCAAAAACAAGAATGCATCATGGCTCACACATGAAGCTGCTGCCCTATAGAGGCCAGTGATTCTCCTGAAGGCAGAACCATTATTCTAGCGACTTCATATCTTCAGCCTTTTGACACGCCAGCCTTCCTGGCACATGCTGCCTGTCTTCCTCCCCATACTCTCTCTCCTGCTTGGGTGGCCACACTCTAAAACTGTCTCCAAGGCATGTCAACTGGCTTGCATGGGGCTGCATTCAGTAGTATACTACTGCTTCGACTAGAATGGCTTTCGGTGTGGTCCTTACCCCTCCCCCGACATCGTCTCTAGTAAGATGAGGGTGGCAAGGAGTGAATGAGAGAATGAAACTAACACTCGTCAGTGGGGTTCATCACACCGGAAGTTGCATGACTGTTTGTTCGGAGCTAAGGTCACGCGGGCTCTCGCCCGAATCTCTTGGCCCTAAACCTCAGATGGTCTTTAATGTGCTTCCTGAAATTCCATAAATTAGATGCCATAATCTTCTCAGCTCCGTCTAGACCCGGGTAGATGAGCAATCGAGTTGCAGTGCATTATGGGGGAACTGGTGAAGGTCACCTTTACCCTGCGCTTTCCTGAGAAAGCGCTTGCTCTCAGTGGAAACCTCCCATTATGGCTCCTTTCTTGGAAAGGAGGGAGAGTGCTGCTCCCTCAGCCTTGAGACCTTGCTGTGTCACCTTGGAAATGTTCTGCCTTGTCACAGGAAGGGCAAGCTGCTATGTCTGCTCGAGTAAGGAACGGCTATCTCCTGGGGCTTCCTTCTCCTGAGTTTCTCACTGTTCCTGCCTCTCATCAGGGAGATGTCCAGACGTCTCTCCGGTGCAACCCTGCAACCGGAAAGGCATCTATTTTCTTCTTGTTGATAGAGATTAAGCCTAGGGCTCTGTGCATCCTGAGCCCTCTACTAACTGAGCTACATCCAGCCCCCTTGTCATTCCTGTAACAAAATACCTGAGTTCCTCGAGGCTGGATGTGATAGAAAAGTTTGTTTGGCTCATTTTGAGAGGTTGAAAACCCAAATAGCATGGTGCCAGCCCTGGTCATGACCCCCCTGGTTACATTACGTCAACGTGGGTGGCATCACAAGAGGACAGATCTAGCCAGAAGTGGATGCTCCTTACATTATGTGTCACCTGGGTAGAAGGGAAACCAGAGTATGGGGAATGCCTGGGCTTCCTCTTCTTTCTCATAGAACTATGGGCTCACGAGAATTCCTTCCAAGGATGGTGCCCACAATGACCCCCCCCCCCCCCAAAGGTCTTATTGCTCCTAACATTGCTACACTGGGGACCAAGCTTCCAATATACGGAGTTTTGAATTCAAACCACAGCAGTTTGCTGTGTGAACTGTGGATCTATATCATGTTCTATATGTACAAAACATGTCAAAATGGCTCCAACATGGATTCCTCCCCCTTGGCTCTATCTTCAGGCATTGGTAGCCCCTTCTTCCAAAACCTTGCTCTATATCAGTACTGCAGTCTGACTGGGCATGGAAAGAAACTCTTACCTCTTCTAGATCTGTGTATCACTTCATAAATACCAGCTGGAAAGATTTTACAGAACAAACCTGATAGGGACAGCTCATCTGGGCAAGTCTTCTGGTTAAAAACTGAGCAGGACCATTGACTCTGCAAAGAAACACTCTCTTGAAGTTCTTGCCCTGAGTGGTCCTGAGAAATATCATGAGAGAGCCACATTCTCATTCCCACAGGACCCTCTCATCTCCCCTGCTCCCTGTCTAACCCTCTGCAGGAAAGCCACGGTGTCGAAGGACTTTCTGAATAAGATAAGCGATGTGGGAAGAGCCCTTTGAGTCAGGAGGAACAGAGAACTGAATCTGGAGAAGACGTTTATCATCCTAATAAAACGAAGCACATATTTGCATTCCAGGTCCTCCACCTGTTCTATGGGAGCACGGGCGTTCTCCCATGACAGTATTTTTATCCCTGATGGGGGAGCAGAAAATGAGCAGACAGTTCAAGCAATGTCACAGGACAACATCCTGGGCAAAGTCAAAACTCTTCAGGTAAGACAGCCTGAGATGATGGGCAGAGCAGAGCAGAGGAGCCCCACCCCCGCCCTCTGTGGAGGGAAGTGGGAAAGACCCTGGTCGGTCCTTGAGTGATGGAGTGGGAGGTCCAGGGGTCGCTTCGGGGGAGAGGCTTTGAGATCTGGTGCTCCCCTCGGTTTCTCCCATGAGAGGCACACTTAGCACTGCTGCACCCACCCGCACGGCTTGTGCTCCCCCACCTCTCCTCTCCAGTTGTTTCCAGTTTGACTGGGATGTGAGGAAAAAGTACCTAAGATAAGCTCCAGGGCTTGCCTGTGGGAAAGAGCTCCAATCACTAAGCACCAGAGCCGCTGTCAACAGAGGCCACTTTGTGCACGTCCATCCTGTGAGTCTCCAGCAGGAGATGGGGCGGGGTGAGGCTCTGTGGTGGCTGTAAATGCGGCTTCCAGCCACCCTGTCTTGGGAGGATCCCTGCCGACTCCTTTCACCCTGCAGTGGGGTGGGGGTGGTTTTCTTACCTACTGTTGACTCAGCTGGTGACTCCCTGACAGTGAAAGTGTAGTAAACGGTGCTATACTGAATGTCGTTAAAATAATGGGCCCAGGAAACGCCAAAGGAACAAAGACTGTGGAGTCTCATTATGTAGGGCCCTCCCATCGCTTGAGCATTTCCCTCACCAGGAAGCTATGCCAAGGCAAGCACTTCTGAGATGGGAGTGCGTGGGGACTCCCTAGACTTTGGACAGAGGGCTCCGAGTTGCTGAGTCCCATCTGACAGCATGTCCACAACAGTGACTGGATCAAGGAATGGATGAGAAGAAAAAAAGGCAACAAGAGCTGGCCATGGCGGCACATACCTTTAATCCCAGCTCTCCAAAGTAACTTTGCCTTTCTTTTCGCACGGGCTCGTTTCTACCGAACATAAGCTGTGTATTTTATGAGCTGTGGTCATACAGTCAGTGGACGGGGATGTGGGACAAACCAGGAAGCAGCCAACACCCTGGAACCTTGCCCAGATCATTGTGCCTAGACCCACATGGACCAAGGGCCACAGTCCGCCCATAAAGCCTGCCCAGGCTGTTTCGTGAACCCCCAGCACTTCCTAGCCAGGCTCCCCTTTGTTCCTGCTGGCTGTGCTCTTAGACTCCTCGACTTTGAAGAAGCAAGCTCTCGCTTTTCACAGGTGGAAGAAGGAGGACAGGAATAGCCAGGGAGAACTTGGACCCACTTCCCTCTGCTAGTTCTGAGCCCCTGCCTTGTCATAAATCTTTCTCTAAAAGAAACGCTGTGTGCAGGATTCAGACCATGAAACAGCTGCCTTCGCGGGAGCTTCGAAAGCCCTTTAAAGGTGGATAACGGCCCGTGGGCGCCAACGATGTCTGCTCCGTACTGTTCACCGCACACCGCTCCCACTTTGAAAAGTGATTTAAGGGTTATAAAGCATGTGCCATGCAATTGCGCAGTACTGGGAAAAAAATAGAAACTCAAAATCTGTGAGCGAGGGCTGTGGTTCCTTTTAACAATAAGGTAAGATTTTAAATAGTTTGATCTCCTAATTAATAAAACATGAAACCATCAACTTCCCTGAAGTGGCAATACAATTAACACAACGGGGGAGGGAAGGCGAGCCGAGCAGAATGAGTCTTTAGTGTGAGCGCTCTCATCTGGACAGCATCCCGTCAGATGAGCTCTGCTGAGTTTTGCCTCTGCCGCTGGCCTCCCATTCCTCCTCTGATCTCTACGATAGCTTTGGGGATATCAGGGGCTTTGCTCTTCGAGGCTGGAAACGGGGACCACGGTCAGAGCCAAAGGGATTTTTAGACTTTAAGTGACCTAAGGTTTACCTGAATCACTCCCAAAAGACTGTGCTTTATTTTTCAGTCGCCTAAGCAGTATGTTCCTGGTAAGTCCCCCAAATCTGGTGACTGCAGACACTTGCATGAATGCTTTGCACTTCCCCCACGACAACTTTATGCTGCTGTGGATGCCCAGGAAGAAGCATAGGAGACCGCCTCCTCCTAGGCTCCAGCATGGAATGGGAGAGTTTAGCTGTGTCGGAGGCATGTGTGTTTTGTGTTTGGAATTGTCATTGTGTACATGTCTATGTTCTTTTTTTTTTTTATTATTAATGGAGAAAGGAATGAAGAACACCTATTTGACAGTGAATGTTCTGGATAGATGAATAGCCATAATTATATATTTAAATATTCTGTTGTAATGAAATTTAGCCAAAAAGAAAAAAAAATAGTTTAAGAGACCATCCAGCATTCATTTAGAATTCATGAACATGAGTGGAAGGTGTTTGCATTTGGAGAGGTTGCCCCCTAGTGCCCACTTGTGTCATAGCACCTAGAACTGTCTGGCACCCACAGGGGTTGTTAGCATTGCTCCACTAAAAGCATAACGCAGACCAGCACAGTTAGCCTTCCCTGTCTTAAATAACATCACTTTACCATGGCAAAATTTCCGTGGCAAACTATTGAGCTTTTTAAAAGAACAAGAGCACATTTTTTCCAAGTATAAAAATGTGCTCTGTGAGAACAAATTTGAATAAACACTTAGTTATAGGGATTGAAGCAATAGCGCCCTTTTGAAGGCCCAGTCCGTAAGGATGAATACCACTCGAACGAGTGAGAGAACACAGAGCAGTAAAAAATATCAGGCCTCTGCCACCATGTGGTCATGTGACCTTGGGCCAAGTAATTCTTTAATCTCCGCGACTCTCACTTTCCCCACTTGAGCAATAAGGAGGTGCAGGTGATGGGCAAGCCCCAAGGCTCCTCCAGCTCTTAAAGTATGGTGTCTGTGTGAAGTCCCTGTTCACTGCGGCACACGGTGGCTGTAAAAACGTTGCCCTTGGTGATATCTGTACCGCATCGACCTTGACATTATCAGGAGTACAGGTCAGGAGAGAGCCTCTCTGCTGAAGGTCACACCCAGCTGGGAGGTACATACCAGCTGCTGCTGCAACCGGAGGAAGCCTGGCTATGCCCGCAGGTGGTTGCCACACTTTTGTTGGGTAATGCCTAAATTATGTGTCCCATGGATTATTTGGCACAGGTGTAGGTGCGGGCCTCGGTCCTTGGCGGCAATTGCCGCCTACTGAAGTGGATTTTACTTGAAAATTCCAAAATCCTACGTTTGAGGATTTTGACATGCAATACAGCCATCAAGGGCAGAAAGCAAAGCATCTGACCTCGGCCAGTTCTCCCTAGAACAGGTGTCCTAAATCCGCATGCTTTTTTAAAGAATTCGCTTTCATGATGGGAGTACCTGCAGTTTGCTCAGGAAGACATCACCTTTTTTCCCCTCTGCTGTTTGCTTTCGTGGACATGATTTGAAAAAAAAAATGGCTGCACAAAAAAAAATCTGGGAAATTCTAGATCCCAGCAGTGCAAAAATCTGCAGAATACAATGTACTTGGCATTCCCACACCACAGCATCCAGCCTCATAAATATGGATGTGGATTCCATGCCATCATCCATTCCCAAGCCTTCCATATGACAGCAAAACGGCCCAAACTGAATGAACAAAATATAGTCCCTTTGAGCTCGCATTCCAGTTGCAACAGTAGCTGTATTCATAGCCAGCAGTGGCACACGCTGTCAGTGTATGGACCAGTTTCCTCTTTCCTCTCCAGAGAGAATTGTGATGGGTGAAAAGACAGGGCTTGTGGGGCCAGCTTACAGCGGCCTAATCTTCAGTAATTGCTCCCTGCTTGTGGGTCCTTTGTTGACCGTGCCTGGACCGTGGGCAAATGAAAGCAATGAAAATCATCAGTTCCCATATCGTTCGCGTGATACCTCAAACCACCAGCTGGATTTTAGCAGGGATCTTTAAGTTGTCAATACACCTTATAGAATGTCACAGCAGTCCGGTCTCCTCTGAGTCACGGAAAGGTGTTGAGAAAAGAGACCTGTGAAGAAGGGGTGTGTCAGGGTGTGAGCGATTGGTCCTTAAACACCTGCCGCAGCCTTGGTTCACCAGCTCTTGTCTAAAAGCCGCTGGACACAGAGACCAGCCCTATTCCCATCACCATCACTGTTCCCCTCCGGCCTCTCAGTTCCTCTCCCTCGGCTTCCCAGCCACCAGCCTGAGTCTGTTTTCCCTAGGGAATTTCAAAATGGCCTCTAGACAAGGCGCACACTTTTGTTCTCAAGAGCAGCAGCATTATTTATTTTGTCAGGATGAACAGGTCTGCAACATAAGTCAGTCCTTTGGCCTGGTCGCACGCTCCCTTCCCTCTGCCCTCTTCCCGTCCTGTGCCCTCCAGGTCCTCAGGCGTTGTAGCCACTTTCCTGGGCCCTTCTTCCTCTTCCTTCCTCCACACTTCCTGTCTCTGCCACTGCCCTCCCTGTCCTCCTTAGCTGTCCACTCCATGTCCTAACATTCCTCCGCCCATTGCCCAGCCTGACTCTTGGTACTTTGTTGTCCCTGTCCTTCTCCATCAACCGCGATTCTTTACCTTCTCCTTCTGTTTCTGTCTGGAGCCACAACAATCATTTTGTCTTTGGACTTCGTTTCTGTCTAGGCTGTGATCATGTTTGTCTCATTCCTCCTTGTCTCTTAAGCATCAGGATAAGCCAACAACCATTCTCTCAAAAGAGCCCTAGTCAAGTAAAGAGGCCTGTTTGTGCTTTTTGTGACGGTGGCAAAACTCCTAATTAAGTGACAATATAGCGTTATGCCCGGAAGTGCATTATGAATGTCCTTCCCATTAGAGAAATAAGAAATGATTTTCCATCTCCATTGGTCAATGGACACATTCCAGTTAGAAGGACTATTAAGTTGTAGTGTTCTATAGCACAGTAGGGTAGCTATGGTTAATAATTTATAGGATATTTCAAAATAGCTAAAAAGGAGAACTTTGAGCATTCCCGACACAAAGAAGTGAAAAATGGATGAGGTGATGAATATGCCAATCACCCTGGCTGACCATTATGTATTATATACGTGTATTGAAACCTCCCAGTAGTCCACAAGTGTGTAGAGTCATTATCCATCAATTGAAATGGAAGGAAAACTCAGCCAAGTGGCAAATGCCCATAATTCCCACTCTTGGGGGTGCAGGCAGAAGGATCAAGAGTCCAAGGCCAGCCTAGGCTGCATAGCAAGATGCTGTCTCAGAAGAGAAAGGAAGGTTCCCTCTTCCCACATCTCATCCCAGAACACTGGCACTAAAAGACCCTGCCAGTGGGAGTCTCCCCCATCCACGGAGATTTAGGACAGTGTCAGGCTCATGGCCAACACTCCTAAGGAGGCTTGGAGCAGGTGGCCACAGGAAGCCCCCCTCCCCCTCCCCCCAGGTCCGTGGCTGTGATTCCATGTCCTGTTGTCTGACTCCATCCGCTGTTGTAGATGTGTTGCTTCTGGACCTGCTTAGAGTACGTACTAACTGCCGCTCCCTGCTCGACTTGCCTTTGGAAGACATCCTTTTTCAGCAACCTGCAAGCCTCTTGGGGGCTGCTGAAGCTCTCCTTCCCTGGCTGAATGGGGGCTTTGGGTGTGCATTCTTCCTGGGAGGCCGAGAACCCAGTGCCGGCTGAAATCACAGCAGACCAAATGCAAGCCCTTGCTCCCTGACTTGGCATGCTGGGTGGCTGAGGGTGGGGTGCGCTGTGCAGAGAGGGGCGTCTTGGGGCTCATCTTGGTCATGCATCTGCGTCTCCCTGCTCACTGGGCAAGGCTGGGGTGGGGGACGAGCTGGGTGGAGGTGGGTGGACATGGTGCCATTGAGTTCTGAGGGACAGGAGACATTTCCCTCAGGGGATACTTTGGCCAGGGATTTTTTAGAGAAATATTAAACATGCCGGTCATCTCTTTATACAACTGTCCCTGCAAGAAGGAAGTCCACTGTCAAATTTATGAGATCTGGTGTGGAGCACAGTGACCAGAACTCTGGATGTCATTTTCAAAGACGTGGGCTCAGATTCCTTTGGAGCCACTCAGCCTTCCCATGAGCTTGGGCTGGTCACCTCTCCACAGGAACCTGGACTTTGTTTTGCAAAGTGACTGGGTTTGTCTTAGTTTGATCCTCCTGTTCCTGTGAGAAAACCGCTGACCAAAAGCAAACTTGGGGAGAAAAGGGTTTATTTCAGCAAACAGGTTACAGTCTATCATTGAAGGAAACCCAGGTAGCAACTCAAGGCAGAAACCTAGAGGCAGGAACTGAAGACCAGGGAGGAAGGCCGCTTAGTGGCTGGCATTCACCTGCCACTTATACAACCCAGAACCACCTGCCTGGGGTGGCACCGCAGTGGGCTGGACACTCCTCCATCAATTAACAGTTAAGGAAAGTGCCCACAGATGCGCCCACAGGCCCTTTTGATCGAGGTGTTCTTCAGCTAAGGTTCTCTTTTCCCGGGTGGGTGCCTCTAGCTTGTCCCAAGTTCAGAAAACCTAGCCAATCCAAGGCTGGAGCAGCTGATTGCCAAATCTCTGGTTGGAAGCCCTGCCAGATTAACTATTAGCCAGATTAAAGATAAATATCAAACCACATTAGGTTTAGACCACATATGGGCGTAGCTCTAGAACAGTGGTTCTTAGCTGGGGACGCTTTATCCCCAGGAGACATGGGGCAAAACATCTGGAGTCAGATTTCCATTTTTGAATCTGGCCCTTACCCAATCTGCTGGTTATTGTTTACAGCCCCGTTCTCCCCTTCATTCAGATGCCCTTCCAGCTGCCACCTGCCGGTCATCAGCCCTTCTTTAGCCCTTCCCTCCCTGCCCCTACCCCAGGTTCCTTATGGCCCCTATTTCACGATGCGTAACTGAAGCGAAGAACGAAAACTGGATCATTCCCATCCCTGACCTCCACGCTCACCAAGGAAAGCCTTGCTGACCCTGGGACCTTCTCCCCCTTGCCCTGTGACCCACTGGGACCAGAGCATGTGGCTTTGACTTGGGGAATCCCACGCTAGGTGAAGACACAGAGAGATTCCCGGGGAATGTATCCAGAAGGGACTAGCGGGTTCAGCTGTGCCCGCCCCAGGAGTCTTCATTTCTCCCCGTGGCTCCTGAACTTCATGTCACCACTTTCTGCATAATGTCTTCATGCATTCAAAGACTTTAGGTAGATGGATCCAAGAAATTAAAAACACGCATTTCCAACCTGAGTTCGGAAACGTGGTCCCTGTACCTACCAGAAGCCGTTATCATTTGCATCTAAGAGGTGGCTGGAGTTTTAAAAGCTTGTAGCTCTGCAGATGGAAGCAAGTGGACTCAGTGTAGGACGGCCTTGAGGTCCCTCGGCATGGCCGTGCTTCTAGAAGGCAGCTGGGCACGACCGTCCCCGGGGAATCTGGTCATGGCTGTAGAGACTGTTTCAGAACGTCTTCCCCTTGTTTCTCCGGCAGCGACAGTTGGGCAAGAATATCAAGTTTGGGCAGCGGCCATCGAATGCCATTCCCATGAAGAAGGCGGGCAGTGCGGACGCTAGCTCTGATGAGGACTTCTTCCTGTCCAGTCCCATGGAAATTGTGACTCAGCAGGATATTGTCCTCTCAGACCCAGAGAACAAAGTAAGTCTCCTCCAGGAGGGGAGTTTGGTTCTCATAAGCCAGAGAGCAGGATGCCAGCCAGGAGACAGTGACATCTGATGGCCCTACAGTCTAGAGTGGGGGATGGGGGAGTGGGGATGGATAAGATGAGGAGAAGACGCTTTTCTGGTGCTCAGGCTGTGGACCAGTGGGAACGATGGGGTCCTTCAAGGCTCAGGTGACGCGAGTGCTTCTGGGAAATCTTTCCCGACCTCACCCCCAAAGCTGCATTGTCTCCTCTTTCATATCTGCATCCTCCCTCCATAAATGTTCGCATAAAATTGTTTTCTCTCCATCTCTAAACGTTGGCTTTTTGCAGCTAAAACTGCCTCTTACACATCCCTTTCTCCTCAGGACTCGGAGACTGCCAGCTGAGTGGCTGACTAATTATTGACCAAATTGGACTAATTTAAGAGAGCTGAAAAAGAAAGCCATAGGGGTCCAGGGAGAGGGCCTCACTCACGCCCACCAGCTTGAGCTCCCATCAGCTGGAAAGAAAGTCACATTTCAGAACCTGGCCGTCTAAAGTGGGTGTGTTGACACTTTCCAGGGAACACTTTGACTAGATCCTGAATTCCAAGCTCCTCCAGCAGCAGAGGAGAGGCCTGCGTAGAGGAGAAAGGGCCCTACAGCCCTCGGAATAGCCAGTCTGGGGCTCTCTAGTGACAGGTGGACGCTGGGTCTTTCTTAAAACAACTCTGCCTATCCTAGTTCCAGAGTCTGGGTGTTTGCTGTTAAAATAGGCACAGCTACTATCAGCTAATATGTCAGAAGAGCAAGACAAACTGTCAGCAGTGAAAACGGACAGTTTGTCCTATTGGCACCTCTGCTGGGGCCTGCGCCGTGATGATCCCTGGCACACACATATTGACAAACGGATAGTGGGTGAAGGAGGAGGGAATGGGGGTCCTTCCTCCTCGTGGATTTCGAAATGCTCTCCCCCACCTGCCCAGTATCAGGCAGCGGGGGCAGCAACAGCAGCAACATCCCTCACTTTAACACAGGGGATTCCTGAGGACCAAAGACTGCCCTTGCTATTACTTACGACTTCAAAGCGGGAGGTTCTGTGGCCTCAGGAAGGACAGAGGCTCTTTGTTCAACAGGCCTTGTCTTAGGTGTGGGTGTTACAGAGATGAGCAAGATTTGTCACGGGAGGGCCTCTGGTGGCTCACATCCTAATGAGAGGGTGTCACAGAGCACACAAGTCACCATGCAGGTAAAGATAATTGTTTCAATGCTGCCTGCCGAGAATAAGGCAGTAAGTGACTCTCTGGGGGCGGGGGGAGGTTGCATTTTCAGATGTGGGCTTGGGAACAGACCAGGGGGTGACAAGGTAGAAGTGTTCTAGACACAGGTATACGCCGGAACAAAGACCAAAGAGAACATGCTGATCTTAAAAAGAAGACCGGGAGGAACTGGTCAGATGTGGCTGGGTGGGCACTGGGGGAAGGCAGATGCCAAGGCCAGGTGCTGGAGGCCATGAAAAGGGAGAATCCTTGAATTCTGAGGAATAATAGTGAGGAAGGGTCTGGAGCTGACTTGTGTTCTTTTAAGTGTGTGTGTGTGTGTGTGTGTGTGTGTGTGTGTGTGTGTGTGTGTGCAGGTGCATACCATGACATGTGTGTGGAATTCAGAAGACAGTTCTTTTTTTTCTTTTTTTTTATTGATTTTTATTGAGCTCTACATTTTTCTCTGCTCCCTTGCCTGCCTCTCCCCTCCACCCTTCAACCCTCTCCCAAGGTCCCCATGCTCCCAATTTACTCAGGAGATCTTGTCTTTTTCTACTTTCTACTTCCCATGTAGATTAGATCTATGTAAGTCTCTCTTAGTGTCCTCATTGCTGTCTAAATTCTCTGGGATTGCGGTTTGTAGACTGGCTTTCTTTGCTTTATGTTTAAAAACCACCTATGAGTGATACATGTGATACATGTGATAATTGTCTTTCTGGGTCTGGGTTACCTCACTCCAAATAGTGTTTTCTAGCTCCATCCATTTTCCTGCGAAACAGAAGACAGTTCTTAAGAATTAGTTCTCTCCTGCCCACACCCACACGAGGTAGAAGGACAGCCGCCTTCTGGGGATGTTTCCAGAACAAGCCTGGTGTGCCACCCCCAGCTTTTCCTCCCTGTTCTTTCACCTTCTGTGCACGTGGCTCTGGGAGGATCTTTTGTCTTCACTCCCTGCTCCGAAGTCTCAGGGGAAAGCTAGAAGGCTAGCAGGAAGTCTGAGAGCTCCCACGTTGGAGCTGTGTGTAACACGGCCCCATTTCCCAGGCGAGGTAGTCGCCAAGCAGCCTCTCAGCCTCTCCGACCTTGGGAGGAAGCACAGGATGTGGGGCTGGGAGCTAACCAGGAGGGAAACGCGCTGAACTCAGGAAAAAAAGAGGACCTGGCTCCTCCATGGCTCTGTAGTCCCAGTCAGCAGAGTTACTACAGTGTTCCTTGGTGGTTCCAGGAGAGCCCGTGTCCCCCTGTGGAGCACGGGGCCACCCTGGTCAGGCCTAGACAGTGCTGGTTATTTGTCCAGCACTTCCTGTCTCCACAACAACTCAAGCGCTCTCTCTTCTCTTCCAGTCCAGTGACACGCCAAGTTCCTCCAGTCCTCTGAATCTACCTGAAGCCAGAAGTGAGATGGAAGAGAAGGTAACGGGATGCCAACTTTTTAATCTAGCCTCTTTCCTCTTTGTTACCATCTGATATTTTATTTTCTGTTCATAAACGGGAGCAACCAGAGGGGGAGAGGTTAAAGCATCCGTTTCCATGGCAACACAAGCGCTAGCCTCGAGCCCTGCTCTGAAGAATAGCACACTCCCATCATGCCTTGAGAGTTTTAGACAGTGCTAACTTCCCTAAATACAAATGGATCGGGCACTTCAAGACATTGTGAATCTGTTGAGAAGGGCATTCTAGAATGTCCGCAAGATACTCAAGACTGTAAGGGGGTCTTCTGTTATGAACAAACCCATAACCAACCTTACCCGTCTCTACTTTTACACAGGTGCACTTTTAATGCCCCTTTATTATTGTGTGTTGGGGTGGGGGAGGAGGGAGGGTGGGCTGCGCCTATGCGTATGCACAGAAAAGACAAAGGAGACTGTCAGGAGCCCCACCCTTTCGTTCTCCACTTCATTCTCTGGAGATAGGACCTTCTCACTGAATCAGGTGGTCTTCCCGTCTCTGCCTCCGCAGCGTGGGGGTGACAGGCGCGTGAATGGTTATGCTCTGCTTTGTACATGGGTGATGGGACCTGAACTCAAGGCTTCATACTTGACCTTACTTACAAATCGTTTCCCCCACCTCCCCCTGTGGCCTGGGATTTTACCTTCATTGAGGAGCCTAGACCCTCTGCCCTGAGCATGGGTCCTGAGGGGCTGAGTTTCTCTGGTGAGAATTCTCATCCTTACATGGGGTACACCTTCTCTGAAGAAATGGAGGATGTGGTAGTGACCTACTTTGCACCGGCAGGGCAGCGGGGGTGGCTCTGACCAGTCCCTCTCCCCAGTGGGAACAGCTGCAGAGAAAGCCTGGCGCTGAAATCTCAGCTTCAAGTGTCCCTCCCTGGCGTTAGTCCGTCACATTGGCTCTGTTGTCCTCCCAGGTTTCTCTTAGGGAATGGAGATATGTGTTTAATTCTTCTCAGAATTTTATAGCTGTTATGAGAACAACCATAAGTAAAAGCGACAAGGCCGAAGGCCAGGAATGTTTGTTCTCCACTCTAATTTGTGGATTCATGGGTACTAAGTAGTTGATTATAGTTGTGTACTAGCTTGGTCTTTTATCTTTTGTGAATAAATATGGAAGGTAATTGCAGCCTGCAAGCCCCACAGACTTTACACACACAGTGCAAACAGTTCGCAGGCCTGGCCCTGTCCAGGGCTGGCTTTTGTGCACAAAGCTACTGCTGACTCTGAGAGGGCTGTGAGCGCCCCCTGCTGTTCAGATGTCTAAATTCTCTAGATCACCCGAATGGCTTCCTCCTCTGACTGACCAGTGCCTTGGCCACTCACTTCTCTAATGTGTGCAGTTTGTCTAAGATTTGATCTTTATATATATATGTATATATATATATACCTTTTTTATGAGTGTTTTGCCTGTGTGTATGTATTTATACCACATGCAAGCCTGGTGCCCATGGAGGTCAGAAGAGAATACCAGGCCCCCAGGAACTGGAGTTCTAATTTTGAGTCGCCATGTGTGTGCTGGGAAGTGAACCCAGGTCCTGTGTAAGGGCAGCACGTGTTCTTTACTGCTGAGTCACGTCTCCAGGCTCTTAAACTGATTTTTGAGACAAGAGCCTCATGCAGCTCGGGCAAGCCTCGAATGGAGTATGTGGCCAAGGATGCTCCTTTTCCTGGCTCCGTCTCCCAGGTACTAAGAGGACGAGTGGAGGCTGTGACACCGTGCTGGGATGGGAAGTGGTCTCTCTGCGCGTGTGTCTTCATTCCGGAGCTGCAGGTTACTCCAGGTTCCTTTGGGAATGACGCTTAGGCCACTCGGTTATTTTTATTTTTAACCAGAGCTCTTGGTTAGCTTTTTGATGTACTAAGTGCTCTATGGTCTTGAGTGATTGTGTCAAAACATTTTTTAAAGTTTAATAATACTGTATTTACATATTTTAGCAATTACACACTTGTATATTTACCTCGATCATATCCATCCACTATTCCTCCCATTCTCTTCCCCCGGGTTCCCTCTCATTACATCCTCTCCCTACTTCATGCCCTCATTTAAAAGAAGAAAACCCTCATTGAGTCCAATTAGAGCTGCCCGCATGTTCTGGGTGCGGTGCCATCCCCGGATGCATGGACAATCTACCAGGGACCACACCCCCAAAGAAAAATTGACTCTCTCTCTTCCCCTCAGTCACCCACTGCAAATAGCTCCACAGCTAGGGGTGAGAGCTCGGGAGCTTCAGCCCCATCTCCAGCCATATTGTCTGGCTTGTTCTCGTCCTGGTAACCGTGGGTGCTATGGGTTCCCAAGTGGAACCTCGGTATCATGTCCCCCCTCCTTCCCCTCCAGCCCTTGCAGTCGCTCTGCCCACTCTTCTACGCTGTCTCTTGGTCCTTTGAAGGAGGAAGACAAATCCACATGTCCTGTTTAGGGCTGAGTGTGTGACAGCCACTTCTTCTCAGCTCTTTAACCTGTCCTGAGTCTGCTGTAACCACTGCCCACCACAGAAGGAATTGCTCTGACCAAGGTTGATAGTGGCACTAATGTGTGGGTATAAACAAAAATATTATAAGGAAATTTGACAAGATGACCACTTAGCAGAACAATTATAGTAAGGTCCCCCTATGGCCTACGACCTCCCCAGCTATGAGCTTTTCACCAAGTTTACAGTCCCAGTTATGAACTCTTTCCTGGGGAGCAAGTCTCAAACCCAAGCAGAAGGCATTCGGTTGCTCCCATAAGAGACATGCTGCTTCTACAGTGGATATGTCTTGCCTGGCAGGTCAGGATTGTAAAAGTCAGCACTGGGTAAGACCATTGATCTCTTTCCTCCCCCAGTGGCCTAAGCAGCACCTTCTATAACTATGAAAATAACCGGCAGAAAGGAGATTTCCCAGATGTAGGTGGGGTTTTCTATTCAGCCAGCCTGCTTCCAATTAACCACACAGAGAGTTATTGTTAATTATGAGACTTATTATTAATTATGCTCAGTCAACAGCTTAGGCTTATTACTAACTAGCTCTTTCAGCTTAAATTGACCCATATTTCTCATTTATGCTGTACCAAGTGGCAGTGCCTTTTTTTCAATACAGCGTGTTCATCTTCTGCTTCCTCTGCCTTTGGCTGATGGCACCTGTCTCTGCCCTTCTTCCCAGCATCCTCTCTGCCCCCCAGATTCTGCCCAGCTATTGACCATTTAGCTTTTTATTATACCAAATGAGAACAACACATCCTTACAGTGTACAGAAGGATTATTTCACAGCACCCAGAATGTTCCAGATTGACTTCAACAATAGCATCATAACATCTAATTATGGTGGGCAGCCAAGAGCAATGGAATAGCCTGGGTTGATCGAGGGTCCTCCAGGGCCTCCATAACCAATAACTTATAGGAAGACAGCCTATGCCTAGCAGCGTGATATTTTTGTTTAATGCCCCATGTTTTCTGGGAGCAGCAAACTCAAACTTCTTTCCTCTTTAATTTTTAATTATCTTACAAAATAGTAAGGTTTAAATTATTTATACATCCTTCATTTTGGTGAACCCACTTCCTTACTCCTTCCTCTCCCCCATGCCCTCCCTCCGTTCTAATTAGACGTTAACCTCCAGAATGCTCCCCTCTGCCATAATATCACGTATTCTGCAGTCCTCCCCACCACGAAGACCTCTGACCTCTGCAGATATTCCAAGTTAAACACACAAATCTAAAGATGCAAAGCTATGATCCACATATGAAAGACAGGATCCTACCTCTGTGAGCTCTCTGTAGCGTTCAAGATGACCTCCAACTCCGTCTTTCAGCCTGTGTCTCCCAGGAATACAGACAGGTGCCACTGTGCCCATCCCCAAACATGCTCTTACTCTTTACAGGACAGGATACCTGTCCTGATAGCACATTGAAGAAAGAATAACCCAATGTCAGAATAGCCCAATGTCATGAACCTATGAAAATCCTTATAGTAAATGGATAATTTCTATTTTTTTAGACAGAGAAAGGAACCTTTTTATTCAAAATTCAAAGTTCAAAAATTTATTGCTTTACAATTATCCTTTTATCCAACCATGCCAGTAAGTTAATAAAGGAACCATCTATCAAATTTGTGTTTAGAGGTGCAAGTATCATATATCTAGATTTAATGTTCCCTAGAAGTGAAGCTGACCCATGGGCTACAGCCAGGCCCTACTCCATCCAGAAGCTAGCCAGTGAAAGGAACAATTCCACCCTAGGGAGGGGACTTACCTGGCCTCTCTGCCCGGAGATTGTCAAGTTGGAACTTGGACACTAAGGACCTGGTGTCCTGTGCCTCCACTGCATCCTTGGCATCTATTGCCTGCTGAGGGAGCATTGACTTCCTCAGGCATGCCCAGCTGGCCCTCCTGAACCTGGTTCCTGTATGCATTGCTGTCTAGTCTTGGTGACTCTGAACAAGGGAGAAGTGGCAGAGATGTCCATTTATGAGTTTCTATTATCTTCTTGTGTTCATAAAACACCATGACCAAACCAACTTAGAGCTGCAAGAGTTCCCATGAACCAATGATTCCAGAGGGTTGAGTCTGTGATGCCAGTGTGCAGGCATAGTGTCTAGGGCAGGAAGCTGAAGACTTCACATCTTGAACCAGGAGCCCAGAAACAAAGCTCGCTGGGAATGACCCTGAGGCTTGGAAACACACTTCCCCGAGCCAGGCCTCCCCTCCCAAGCAGCACCACCATCTCAGGACCAAGTATTCAAACATCTGAGACTATGGGGGACATTCTCCTTCAAACCACCACGGAAGTTGGATCCTAAGGCGCAAACCCCCAGTGACAGAATTCAAAGGAGACAACAGAAATCTGCATGAAGAAACTAGAGGAGAAGAAATGCATGCAGCTGCTGTTTGACAGTCTGAAGCCCAACCCAGAGGCAGAAGGGGCCAGCGGTAGGTCAGAGCAGAGGTCAGAGCAGAGGCCAGCAGGCCCCTCCCACAGGTCTCTGCAGCTCATTCCCTTCTCCTTTTCTCTGGCCTGCCCCTGTGCCTCTTTTCATCCCCTACAAGCAAAAGGAACCCTTGGCTTCCTCCCACCTCCGAAGCTAGGTGGGAACAGGCTGTGGTTTTCAGACTTCTGCAGTGACTCTGACCCTCATTAAAGCAACATTCCATGGGCTGAGCTGGGCAAACAGAACCCGGTGCCATTGTAGGACTCCCTGTATGTCGCGTTCTGATCCACGCTGACCTTCCTATCTTACACTGTGCCCTAGGTTGCTCCAGTTAAACCCTCTCGGCCAAAAAGGCACCTCTCTCCTGCTGGCACCATCGAAAGTGTCAACCTCGACGCCATCCCCCTGGCTATTGCCCGTCTGGACAACAGTGCCGCCAAGCACAAGCTCTCTGTGAAGCCAAAGAACCAGAGGGTGTCCCGGAAGCACCGGTGGCTTTCCCAGGTGTGTAGCGAGCCTCTTCGCCGGCGAGGCAGGTGCCGGCACTGATCCTACCCTGCGGGCTGTGCTTGGGGAGAGCCATACTAAACTGTAGGTCTCTCCCCATTGTAACTCGAGTACCCAGCAGTACACAGGGATCAAGAGACCTGCATCCCCTCCATGGCCCGAGGCTGGGGGACCTCGGGGTGTCGCCGATAGAGGGGTGCAGAAAAGCAGGCTGGCTCAGCTTAACCAAGGTTGTCTTGGGTGGGCTTCTAAGTCACAAGCCTCAGGGGACAGTAATGAAATCCAAGTCTTCCTTTGCTCATCTTCCTCATGCTGGCGGGCTATTGTTTTTCTTGTTGTTAATTCATATTAAGAAACAAATTATTCTAGCAAATGAAGGGGCTAGAGGGCAAAACAAAAAATAGTTTTTCCCTTGTCCCCTCAAGTAGTCTTCCTTTGTATGACCGGTGCCTGAATTCACCTGGGAAGGAGCAAGCACATTTTAACCCCCCACTGTGAATGTCCTGTATATACTGTTTTATCCCATGCTTAATGTATATGTGTATATATATATATATGTATATATATATTCTTGTGATAAAGTTTAATTCCTAAATTAATATGGTACAAAAAAAGATTTAAAACAATAATCACAATAATCAATTAGAACAATCATAACGACATGTTATTCAGTTGCCCTTAGAAAACAGAAACGGTGGGAGCAAGGCCTCGGATAACAGGGATTTGGTTGCTGTTCTCACTGGTGACAAATGTCTGACTAAAGGAACTGAGGGGAGGCTTTATTTTTCCCTGACAGTTTGATTATAGTGGCCCATGTCCCCGAAATCGTGGCGGCAGCAGTGTGAGGCAACAGTCACTGCATATACAGGAGGCAGAAACGTTAGTGCCCAGCTCCCTTTCTCCTCTCTCTCCATCCTATGCCTACCCAGACCTCAGCCCTCGGAATCGCTCCCCACCACCAACACCACCATATTCAGGCTGGGCCTTCCTACCTCCGGCCGTTCTGGAAACACCCAGAGGTGTGTCTCCATGGTGACACTAAGTCCAGTCAGGTTGACAGCGAGAGCTGACCATCATGGGCAGCTGCAGGGACCTCTTCTGTACTTGGGAATACGTGCCCTCTTGCGATTAAGAGACCTGCGCTGCGGGGGGGGGGGGGTAGTTGGGGCTGTGTGGGAAAAGGCTAACTGCTTCACTTTCCCATGTCAGGATCGCCAGAATGAGCCAGGCAGCTTTGAGAGGCAGCCTTCCCTGGACCAGAACGGGCAGCCAGGAGAAGACAAGCACATTTGGCATGAAGAGGAACCAGAACCTCTGGATTCCCGCGAAGACAAAAGACTCCAGGAAGAGTATTGGCGGGAACTTGAAGCCAAGTGCAAGCGGCAAAAAGCAGAGGCAGCTGAGAAGAGGCGCCTGGAAGAGGAGAGGCGGCAGGCGCTGGAGAGGAGGCTTTGGGAGGAGAGTCTGAAAGAGGAGCTGCTGGAGGAGGAGGAGCTGCAGCTAGAGGCAGGGAAGGCACCTCCAGGAGAAGGGCAGCAGTCGGGTCTAGAGGAGCAGGGAGGTGCAGAGTTGGGGGAAGCCGACGACCCTGCGAGCCCGGAGGCTGAAAAGCGCAGGCATGAGCAGGAAGATGCTGAGAGGCACGAGGAGGCACTAAGGCAGTGGGATGCCCAGAGGCAGGCAGAGAAACTGAGGCAGTGCGAGGCCGAGAGGCAGGAAGAGGAGCTGAGGCAGCAGGATGCCCAGAGGCAGGAAGAGGAACTGAGGCAACTGGAGGCCCAGAGGCAGGAGGAGGAACTGAGGCAGCTCGAGGCCCAGAGGCAGGCAGAAGAACTGAGGCAGCTCGAGGCCCAGAGGCAGCATGCTCAGGAGGAGGAGGCCAGGAAGATGCTGCAGGACCTGAGGCAGGAAGAAGAGGAGGAGGCCAAGTACACGGAAGAGCTGAAAGTATGGGAAATGGAGGCGCCAGGGCTGCAGATGGGCGAAAGCCCACGGAGTCCAGAAGGAGAGAGCCAGCCTCAGCTAGGGGAGTACGCTAATCAGCAAAGCCCATTGCAGCGGGACTTTGAGAAGCCAGAGGAACAAGAAAACCTCGAATCCGTGGGACAGAAAGTGATGGCCCAGGAGCAGAAGGAAGAGGCTAAGACGACCAGCGAGCCAGATGGGCAGAGGGAAGACTTGGGCACGGAGTGCAGTGATGTAGACGTGGAGGGGAGAGAAGCCACTCAGACAGATATCCCCCTGCCACAAGAGGGGCAGATGGGCAGAGCGGCGGCCTCAGAAGACAAGAACGAAGCTGTCGCTGCAGATAAGGACCGAAATCTGGAGGAGCTCCGGTGGCAGGAGGTAGAAGAGCGGCAGACCATGCCCCGACCCTACACATTCCAGGTGTCCTCCGGGAGTAGGCAGATTCTCTTCCCCAAAGTCAACCTGAGCCCAGTGACACCCGCCAAGGACGCAGGCCTGGCCCCAGTGGCCCAGGAACCGCCTGTGCCCAGTGGTGCCACCCCGCACGCACTGCCCTCGGCGCTCAGCATCCCACACACAGCCATTCTGGTCACTGGAGCGCAGCTCTGCGGCCCTGCGGTCAACCTGAGCCAGATCAAGGACACGGCGTGCAAATCCCTTCTAGGCCTGTCAGAAGAAAAGCGGCAGATGGATGTCCCCACGGTGGAACCCAGGGCCACCAGCGGCAAGGCCAGGCCTCCCCCGGAGTCGCCAAGCAATGCCACTGCGCTAGCCGAGTGGGCGTCCATTCGATCAAGGATCCTGAAGAACGCAGACGGTGACCAACGGAGTGACAGAGAGCCGGCCAAAGCCGGGGACGAGCCTGCTTCCCGAGCGCGGTGCGATTCCCGAGGGAACATGCGCAGGACGCAGCCAGTCAAGTTCTCCATCATGCCGGCCTGGCAGAAATTCTCGGACGGAGGCTCAGAGACCTCCAAACAGAGCCTGGACGGTGAAGGCATGAGGAAAAGATCCTGGCCAGCAGCAGGTGAAGAAACAACGCCTCCGCCTCTGCCTGTGGCTCCGGAGCCTCGGAAGAGCCTGGAGAAGCAGGAGGTGAGCCAGGAGCCAGACACCACCGACGGATGCAAATTTGCCAAAGACCTTCCATCTTTCCTCGTTCCAGGTCTGCCTTCTCCGCAGAAAGCTGCTTCCCGCACAGGGTCCACGACCACTTTGGACAGTGAGACCACGGGTGATGTCGGAAAGCCAGACCTTGTGATCTCGGGAGGTGAGGAAAAGGCCTCGCCCTTCGGAATAAAGCTGAGAAGGACCAACTACTCCTTGCGCTTCCACTGTGACCAGCAAGCCGAACAGAAGAAGAAAAAGAGGCACAGCAGCACGGGAGACACTTTGGATGGTGGCACCCCCGCAACCGGGAGCGACCCTGGAGAGAAAGAGTCTGAAGTTGCGACCCCCAAGCATGGCACATCCCACCCCCAGGAGAAAAAGCCAACCCTAGCCCCTCGAAGGGACTCTGCCGAAAGCCCTTCTAGCGGTCACTCTGTTGCTGTAGCCCACTCGGGGCTTCCACAAGGTAGCCAGACCCCAGCTCCAGAGCAGGACAAGGCAGCAAGCAAAACGCCACCGATGCAGAAGCCGGCCCTGGCTCCCAAGCCTACCAGCCAGACGCCACCTTCTTCCCCATTCTCCAAACTGAGCAGACCTCACTTAATAGAGCTACTTGCTAGGCGCACTGGGAAGGTGGATTCCGAACCGAGTGGGGCCTTCAAGAGCCAGGAGAGCAGTGATAACCAGCCACCCTCACCATCACTGCCAGAGGAGCTGAAGGGACAGAAGAAGGACGAGGAAGAGGTGCCGGAAAAGAAACCCGCTTCCCCGCCTCCATCAGCCAGCCAGCAAGAGAGACCTTCCTTGACTCCTGAGACAGGCAGAAAAGGTACGTGGCTGCAGATTGAATGCTCAGCTTCGTTCAATGGAAAGGGAATTGAGAGGGAGCCCAGGGAACCGGCTCTGGGAACACCTTAATTGGAAACAAGTTCGCCCAAATCAGTCCCTTTCCATGCTACACATCCTTTGAATTGAAATGTTGCCCCAGCTAACACAGATATAATTAACCTTTTTCTTTTTGGTGTTTTTGAAACAGGGTTTCTCTGCAGTTTTGGAGCCTGTCCTGGAACTAGCTCTTGTAGACAAGGCTGGCCTCGAACTCACAGAAATCCTCCTGCCTCTGCCAAGTGCTGGGATTAAAGGTGTGCGCCACCACCGCCCAGCTATCCTTAACCATTTGGAGCAAGTCTGTAGAGGTGATCAGAAGTAGAGTTTTCTAGACCAGACACTGCCTTCCTTCCGGGTGGCAGATGCAGGAGGGAGGGAGGGAGTCAGGGCATCAGCCTTGGAACTATGGGGCTTTGCTGTGGTATGTAAAATCCCATAGTGGTGCCTTAATCCCAGCACTTAGGAGGCAGAGGCAGGTGGATTGAGGTCAGCCTGGTCTACAGCCCGAGTTTCAGAACAGCCAGGGCTACACAGAGGAACCCTTGGTTCTGACTGCCTCTTCTTACTAAACGTTTGAGGTGGTTAGACAGTCAGCTGAATTGACTTTTATGCTTCATAAGAATGTTCAACTAATCTTTCTAGAGATAAAGTTGGGACCGCGGCCAGGAAGCTTCTCTTTGTAAGTGTTTAGATTTGGGGTGGGTTTTGCTTCCTTGAGAAATGTGGGCTTGGTTGCTTGTCTTCCTTTATGGAAGCCCCTAGGGTACTGCTGTTGAGTGCAACGTGCCAGAAACCGTGGATGAACATGGTTGTGTCTTTCGGCAATGTCAGAATGGGTCAAATAACAACCAGTTCACAAGCCATATCAGTTTTATTGTTAGCTGCTTGCCAAGTAGTCTCTCTTTTCCTTGGCCATTGGCAAACCAAGTTCTCTTATTCCAACCTTACTTTACTAATATTAAATCCCATACCACACACTACACCTCATACATAAATACATACATACACATGAACCATGTGTGCCTGAATAGTGTTAAACCTCAACCAGGTTCGAGGAATCTGAAGATGCTTTATTGGAGGCAGGGAGCTGATACAGCTAGAGCATCACGGAGTAATCAGAGAGTAATATAACAATAACCCCAGTAGGAGGGGCTGGGGAGATGACTCAGCGGATAAAAGCACTTGCTGCTCTCACAGAGAACCATGGTTTGGTTCCCAGAATGGCACCTCACGCCTCTCTGTAACTCCACTTTGAGGGGATCCAGCACCCTCTTCTGGCCTTCACGCACCCCAGGCACACATGCAGTGCACTTGCACATAATGCAGGCCAGACACCCATACACGTAAAATAGAAAATAAAGTCTGGTATACACAGAGAGAGGGAGCGAGGGGAGAAACTGTTGCACAGAGCCATGTTGCAGGGAAACAGAGTTTCATTGTTAAACCAGGCCTCAGACGTTAGGCTTGAGTCCAGCTGCAGTCAGCTGAAGGTGAGGACCATGGAAAGGGTTTGGTGTCTTTATGGGGTACAGGTGAGCGAGCTGCTGCATCCTTCTTCCATGTAGTGTGTTCTGCCAATCCTCAGGCTTAGTCTTTCTCAAACGATCTTAATATGTTCGTGTGTCCATAGGTTTCCCAGGCTACTGTTGCCTTAGGGTTTCTATTGCTGTGACGAAACACCATGACCAAAAAGCAAGCTGGGGAGGAAAGGGTTAATTTGGCTTACACTTCCATATGGCTGTTCATTACAAAAGGAAACGGGACAAGAACTCAAACAGGGCAGGATCCTGGAGGCCATAAAGGGGTGCTGCTGACTTAGGGTTTGCTCAGCCTGCTTTCTATAAGAACCCAGGACCACCAGCCCACAATAGAGTGGGCCTCCCACATTAATCACTAATTAGGAAATGCCTTGCAGCTGAATCTTGCAGAGGCATTTCCTCAGCTGAGGTTCCCTCCTTTCAGATAACTCAAATTTGTGTGTGAAACTAACATAAGCCTAGCCGGCACAACCGTGGTAAGTTACAGGAAAAAGCCTATCAGTTTGCCTCGTGGGTAGCGCTAGACAAGCACCATCTAAGTGCGTGAGATGCAGAGCCATCCTGCGTCTGCCTCTGTCCTCGAAATGGAGCCCAACACTGCTTCTGAAATGGAGTCACCTGGGGCAAGGCACAGATTGAGAGCCACTGTCTACTCAGTAATGCAGTAACTTAGAGCAAGGCATAGCATGATCTCAACAAGTCCTTTTCATTTTCATCCTTCCACGTTAGAGGTCTGGTGCTGGTGTCATCTGTTCAGCCATGAGGATGGGCTCCAGCAGCCCCAAGATCATTTCCTTTAGTCCTGACAAAGTGGGCTTCTCTGTCTGGGGCAGGCTGGCTCTCCAGTCAGACTCCAGTGCCTTTCTCTTCAGCACCTTTCTTCTTCGCGTGGTTTTCTTCCACCCATTTCAGGAAGCTAGAAATTTCTAGCTTCCACCCATTTCTAGACTTAAAGTGTTTAACATACTCACTTACAGATAAAATCTCTTGATAAGAACAGATAAAATCTCTTGATAAGAATTGTGCCCTTAGCCAGGCATAGTGCTGTACACCTTTACACCCAGCACTCAAGGGTGGGGCGGGGGGGGGGAAAGCATGGGATCTCTGAGTTCAAGGCCAGCCTGGTCTGCAAAGCAAGTTCCTGGACAGCCAGGTCTACAAAGAGACACTCTGTCACAGTGGGGCAGGGCGGGGGTGATCTTGTCCTTAATTTTCTTATTTACAATGGTGCCGAAGGCACGCAGAGTAACAGTGTATCCTCTTCTAATTTTGCTATGATAACTTACAGGCCATTCCTTTTTAATAGTGTCTGTCCCCTTGATGTCTACGCTATCACCCATCTCATAGATGTGGCCAAAGGAACAACTCCATGTTTACTAAATGGCCCAGAGAATATATCCAGGGTGCTTCTCCTCTTTACCCTTGTTTTCCATTTTGGTGAATTACTGGAAGATGATGGTTCAGCCCAAAAGACAAGTCCTCTCTAAATGACCTGTTTACTTCACGTGTTTCCCTAGACGGGCACAACTCCTTGAGAGTAGCCCGTAGATCCTTTCCTGCAGTGAGGGCTATTTGATGGGTGAACTCATGTTTTCGTTCTGGCTTTAGCTTTTGTGGTATTGGCAGTCCCTCTCAACCTTGTTGCTCTCTCAGCCTCATCCCTCCGCCATGAAGAAAAGCCCATTTGTCTTAGATCTCTTTTGCTATCCTCTTTTTTAGTGTCTTTTGAACTATGGCTTAGTCTATCCTGGTCAGCAACTGCAACTCTGCTGCTACCGTGGCGGCTAGACTGCAAGAGCCTCAGCCTGAGGAAATTCTGTTCCCTCAGGCTCCGACTCTTTCAAGACTACTGAGAGGACTTATCTAAATCTCTGTCCTGCTAAAGAATGCAAGATTCAAAGGTTGAGGTAGAATCCTGCTTCCCAGAGAGGCTGAAGAGCAAGCAGCTCACTTAGCTCGCCTCCTCACATCTCCCTAGAAGCCGTTGTGATTTTTCTCGCCCCCCCCCCCACTTATAAACCCTTCTCCACCTGGCTCCGCCCTACAGTTTCTGATCAGCTAGTTGCTGATGCAGTCTCTGGCCCGCAGGTGAATTTTATTTAATCAAACACATCTTTGCATCATTAAACAAATGTTCCAGAGCATAAATAAAAGTAACACACCTCATAATAATATTTCTATAACACTCTTTGATTTTTGTAATTTTCTCCTATAACTATTACCACTCCGCTCCAAGAAAAGCTGTTACTCTTTTCTGCTCAGTCTTGCTCAGCCCCCACTAAGGGAACATTTCAGTGAGATTCTTCTTTTCTGTTCCGTTCAGCCTTGCTCAGTCCTTCTAAAAGAACTATTCAGCAAGGTTTTTCTGCTCAGTCCCAGAAGGGACGTCTCAGCAAGGTTCTTCTATTGTGCACCTGCAAATGAAGATCTTCACCCAAGACTCTTTTGAGAAAGAGATTTATTTGGGAAGGAGGTGTCCAGGAGAGTGACTGCCTCTGCCAGGGTGGGAAAAGACAGCATCCCCAACAGAACTGGCAGTGGGGGTACTTATATAGGGCTTCTTAGAGGTGTTTTCCCAGGGAGATTTTTCTGCTCAAGGATTGATTCGTTTTCCTGCTCAGGGATTGGTTAGTTTAGTTGGTCAGGGGCAGAGTTGGCTCTGGTTTCAGGACCAAATTGTGCTTCTTTCACTGGCCTTTTTAAAGATTTTTTTTAACTCTTCTTTTGGGGCCAGAGCATATTTCTTTTACTGGCTTTGGTTTCAGGGTCAGATTGGGTTTCTTTGGCTGACCCCTTTTCCCTTCAGGTGTGTATACGTGTGTGTGTGTGTGTGTGTGTGTGTGTGTGTGTCATGTGTGTATGCGCGCGCGTGCACACACACACAACAAAATAAATCTTTGAAAGTGACAAATGAAAAATTTCATAATTTCTTCACCCCTATGACATGTCTTACACATTCTCTAGGACATTCAGCCAACTTTGAAGACCGCTGGCTAACAAAGGAGTCTGTCTTCCAAAGGCTATGTAAGGACAGTAGGATATCCAAAAGAAAGTCTAGTCTTCAGCTACCATCTGAGTTTTTCCATGTCCTGGTGGTGGCTGTTTGGTGGGTTCATCGGCAGGTTCATAGCAAGGGGCCCTGGACTTTGCAGGTCTGTAGTAGGTGGTCCTGTACTGTAGAAAATGCGACTATGTAGCAATGATTATTTTGTCCCAAGCTTTGGGGAAATCCTTGGCTGAGGCTCAAACAGGAATCCAATTTTAATGTCCTGTTTATGGTCCTGTGAGCCAGACCTAATAAGCCTTTACACTTAGTCTTTTAGAGTATGGTCCAAGGTCCCTCATTAGTGCAGTGGGTAGTATATCAGTCTTATAAAATACCACCCGTAACCCCAGACTACTCTATGCAAACTGCAGTTCTCAGGAAATAGATTTCCTTCCTTTTTCCTCTTAAAAACAATTTGTCTTTTTAGTTTCTGTTTGTTTTTAGGTAATAGATGGCAAGACACAAACACTGTGGAGTCTGAATTCCCCTAGCATAGAGTATGGATGCTGGTCAGGTCTTTGGCATGGGTGACATTGCCATCTTTGACACCCTGCATAGAAATGACAGAACTCTGCCCATCAGCTTCATAAATAAAGCAACGTACCTAGAGTGATCGATCCTAAAGACATGATATGTTTCAGACACTGGCCTCCCCTTGGAGTGGGCTCGGCTGTTTATAACTGGGTCTGACCCCTGCATCCTGCTTCTAAGGGAACCTCTCTCATAACTTGGCTTCCCCTTTCTTTACTGTATTCTAGTGGTGCCATCTGCCACGTTAGTTATATCACTAGCCATATCTTCTCTTTGACTGTGACAGACGTCTGCTGGTATCTACGGTTTTCTGTCACTGCAAAAGCAAAAGAAAGAAAAGGCAGAATGCACCTCCAAGTGGGCTTACATTCTTGATTCCAACTTGTCTTCTCCTTTTTGATCTTTCTCTTTATCCTGGAGTGTAATATAAAGTCCATCTCTCTGAGTGTCCTAGTGGTAAGATTCTGGTCTATCAAAGCACAAACGTCTATCAAATTTCTAAGGAACAGGGCTATAGTAAGCCCTTTTCTTTTGAGATAGTAAATAATTCAATACAGTTATGTGATTTTAAAGGGGAAAAGAAGGGAACTTTTGCCTCATGAGAAAAATAATAATTATAGTTCTCTTTTTAAAAGTCTTTAAAAGTTTATAGGCCAAGTATCATTCTAAATATTCTAAAATAAGGATTTCTTTGCTTTTAAAATTTTGCCTGTTGAAACAAGGTCTTGCTATATAGCCCAGGGGAACCTTGAACACACGATCCTTGGGCATGATAGTTGTTTATTATAGACCTACTTTCAAATGTAGGCCTTGGTTCACAGTAATGGAGTTCTCACTAGATTCCTGGAAGACTTGCCCTCAGCAGCTACCTCAAGTGTACAGCACCACTGGTTTTCTGTTCTTCAAACACTGGGGTGCCATATAAGAAATTGTTTGAGAAGAACATTTCCGTTGCTAAAAAACAAAGCCCACCAAGGCAATGAACCTACCTGGGTCTCCCATAAACTTGGATTTTTATCACATTGGAGATTTTATTTTCTTATAAAGTAGTTTCACTTTAGGGAAGAAAAACGCCCATTTTCCTGTTCGTCAGAGATGTCCTAGCCAGTGGACATCAGCACAGACGTCATCCACCTATCAGGAATTATGCCACAGTCTCACGGGAAGAGATGCTAAAGTCAAGTGCTAATCGCAGCAAACATCTTCCTTCCTCCACAGAGAAGCCCGTGCTCCAGAGCAGGCACTCTGTAGATGGCTCCAAATTAACAGAGAAAGGTGAAGCTGCTCAGCCGCTGTGGATAACGTTGGCGCTGCAAAAGCAAAAGGGCTTTCGTGAGCAGCAGGCGACTCGAGAGGAGAGGAAGCAAGCCCGGGAGGCCAAGCAAGCAGAGAAGCTCTGTAAAGAAACTGTGAGTAGCCCTCTCTCTCTGTTCTCAGTGCTGCTGTCCTGAGCTTAGCTCTGCTCCAAGTCACGCGAGGTCATTTTTAAGATGCACCGGAGGTGCTGTTTACAGAGGGCAGGGAAGTAGAGAAATAGACTGCCTTTAAATCAGGGAAGCATTTTTCAGCAGCAAAATTTAAATTTAACTTGGTTTTATACTATGCTTTTAGGTGAACCTTATTCAGCAGGATCTAAGATGGATGTTTTTACAGCAGCAGCTGACATACAGTGCTTACAGGAGTGTCTCTGCCCACCAATCTGAGGTTTCACTTTCCATGGTTTGACTTGAGGTCAATCATGATCTAGAAATATTAAGTGGAAAACTCCAGGAATTCATAGGTTTAAATTGCCATTTTGTATGATAAAATCCGTTGTTCTACTCCCGGAGGCACAGATACTTGTTGCAGGGAGCCGCTTGTTCGTCCTGGCTGCCCAAAACCAAAATAATCACACAGAAGCTGTATTAATTAAATCACTGCTTGGCCCATTAGTTCTAGCGTCTTATTTGCTAACTCTTACATCTTAATTTAACCCATTCCTATTAATCTGTGCATTGCCACATGGTGGTGGCTTACCAGCTAACGTTCCGACCAGCATCTCTGACTATGCCCTTCTTCCTCCCAGCATTCAGTCCAGTCCTCCCCGCCTACCTAAGTTCTGCCCTATCAACAGGCCAAAGCAGTTTCTTTATTCATTAGTGGTAACCACAGCACACAGAGGGGATTCCCACATCAGATACTCTTTGTCTAGTGTTCGGTATATAAAATGAATTTAAAAATGAAAAAGAGGGGCTGGAGAGATGGCTCAGTGGTTAAGAGCATTGTCTGCTCTTCCAAAGGTCCTGAGTTCAATTCCCAGCAACCACATGGCGGCTCACAACCATCTGTAATGAGGTCTGGTGCCCTCTTCTGGCCTGCAGACATATACACACAGACAGATATTGTACACATAATAAATAAATAAATAAATAAATAAATAAATAAATAAATACAGACAGACTTGATTTTTAAAAAAAAAGAAAGAAAAAGAAATGCTCCCAAGGTGTGGCTGCGATGACACCAGAGGTGAGCAGATGCCGAGGGGCTGTTAGGCCTTCCTGAGGCGAAAGCTCTTGGCTTAATAAGGAAAGAAGAGCAGTCACAGACTGAAGTGATTGAGATCTAAGGTAAGAGGAAAACAGAGCCACCAGCGTTTAGTTCTGCCCCTGGTTTTACACATCCCACAAGGATCTTAGACTGATCCATCTTAGAGAAGGGAAACTACCAGAAGTAGGAGATAGGGAAGTGAGTTTGTTCAGTGGGCAGAGTGTTTCCGGAGCCTTGTTCTATGACCTATCTTTCTGATCATCTTGATGGGGCTCATCCTGGAAAGTAACTTCCCATCCTTGGTACATGATACTGAGCCCACACTGGAGGCTCACAAGGTGCAGCCCAGTCCCTCGTGGCGGGGCTGAGAGGCCGTGCCCTGAAAACATGCTTTCCCTGTGCTTCCCAATGCAGGTCAGTGTCAGCCCGCAGCCTGGAAGCAGAGCCGGTTCCCTGCACAAGTCTGCCACTCCGTCAGAAGAGAAGAAGCCTGAAACTGCCGTGTCCAGGCTCCAGCGCAGAGAACAGCTGAAGAAGGCCAACACTCTTCCCACATCCGTGACAGGTAGCTCGCTGGTCCACCCCGGTTTGCCTGAGAGCAGCTTTATTCCCTATCATGCAGTGACTTGGCACAGCATCTTAGACATCCCAGAGCACGGGCTCCCAAGGCCCAGTTGTAAACGCTGATGCTGATGCAGACGGCAAGAATTCCCCAGCTCTCAAAGGAGAGACAGTAAAATGCCCGTGGAGTCCTCTCAGTTTGTAGCCTTTACTGTCTTCCGTGGTGTGAATACTTCAGCTGTGGCTGATTTGAAGCTGCCAGTATGACACCAACTGGCTTGCCCTGATTTCTGAACAGTCAATAGAACAATGTGACTCATCACCAGTACCTCATGGCCCACCATCCATTTTTACTATCTATCACCTGTCTGTCTGTCTGTCTGCCTGCCTGCCTGCCTGCCTGTCTGCTACAGCAAGGAAGGGCATATACCAGGACATTAAACAATGAAAGAGATGAGTATAATAGTCATCATACTTGGTTGGCAAGGTCCATGTGTTCACCTTGGGGCTCAGGTAGGGAAGCTCAGAGTTGCTCTGTGGAGGAGGCAGCCTGCTATTGACCTCACCAACTTGCCAGGCCCGGTGGCTCACACTTGTAATCTCAGTACTTGGGAGGCGGAGGCAGGAAGATCAGGAGTTCGCGACCATAGAAGTTCCAAGGCATGCACTATCATGCCTGGCTTGACTTCCATACCGTTAAATAAGTCAAAATCTTGTTCTGGAGAGGGGACCACCTTTGAAATGTTTGCTAATGGGTACAATATTTCAGAGAAGTTCAGTGGTACGTGCCTTTAATCCCAGCACTCAGGAGGCAGAGGCAGACATAGACAGATCTCTGAGGCCAGCCTGGTCTAGAGAGTAAGTTCCAGGACAGCCAGGACTCTTACACTAAAAAACCCTGTCTCAAAAAATAAGTAAATAAACAAATAAATAAATAGAAAAGGAAATCTGTTGTTTAACACAGTGACTAGAGCTAACAGCCTACTGGATTCTTAAAAGTCTGAGAGCAGATTTTAAATGTTCCTAAATAATTCTGTGAACAACAACTAGCTAGATTTAGATGTTCTGAGGTGTGTGTGTGTGTGTGTGTGTGTGTGTGTGTGTGTGTGTGCATGTGTGCACGCAGCATTTCATATACAATAAATATATATAATTCTATTAACTAAAATGTTTGTTTTTTGTGGTTATTTCTCTCTTCCTTCGACAACGCAGTGGAGATCTCAGACTCTGCGCCCCCAGCACCGCCGGTAAAGGAGGTCACCAAGAGGTTCTCCACCCCAGACGCTGCCCCCGTGTCTACAGAACCTGCCTGGCTGGCTTTGGCCAAGAGAAAAGCAAAGGCCTGGAGCGACTGCCCACAAATCATTAAGTAAACAGTGACTCTTTCCCATGTCTGTGGCCAGTTGCTGGCTCTTCTCTTGCCCTTTTTATTTATTTATTTTTTTATATGCGGTAAAGAAACCAAGTTAGGGAAAAGAAGCATGTTTTATAGGCTCTAAAATAATGTTTAGAAACTGCACTGGTGGTGTTCGTTGTAAAGAGTGTATTTGCACAACCCTGGGTCCTGGTGCCTTGAGCTCCCCTAGTTCTCAAGAGACAGTTTTGGCTGAGGGACCACATGAAGCAAAATCTGCAAAGGAGAACTCGGGAGAGCCTGCCATGCCCATCTGTGCCCATCTAAATCTGCAAAGGAGAGCTCAGGAGAGCCTGCCATGCCCCCTATGGTTCCCACATACACATGCACACCCACGCACCATTTCAGATATCCTTTTGCCAATCTCTTTACTCTATTTTTTTTTTTTGGATTCTCTACTCTTCTACCCCAAATATTTACCCTACTGCGCTTGCATATGGAACAGTGACAGGTTCACGTGTACATAAAACATGGTATCACTCACTCTCCTGGATGCAGCGACTGGAAGAATAAGGAAAAGCTGGCCCCAAGCTCTGTGCCTATATCTGGTTTTCATGACGTTTTCCCCACCCTAAAACCAAAACACACTCATACTGACTGATCCATGGTGTGCCCTGTTACAGCAATGCCCTCTTTAAAGACACAAGGACTGTCTGGCCTAGCTGGCTCCTAAGGAACAAATCCTGGATCAGGACTGTCACTGAGAAGACTCCTCATGTAGCGCAGTGGCTCTCCAGCAGCCAGGGCGGCACTCCCAGATCCGGGAGCACAGGGCTTAGGATAGAGATTTTAGGAGAAACCTTTCAGATGAATTCTGATGTCATTTCAAAAGTTAACCACCTGGTGTAATCTAGCTTTTCACGTTATGAAGAGAAGGCTTATCCACCCAAAGATGCAAACGTGAGACAAGAAAATAAAACCATCACCCAAACCAGCCATTTATGTACGATAGTTTAGGTTGTTGGCATTACATGCCTCTGAAATTTCCCCTTGGCCTTAAGGGAAAATGAACAAGCCAAGATGTGTAACCTATTTGTTCTAAGGACTTCTTGTAGAGAATTTTTTGTTCCTTTCTTGTACTTGAATAATTCAGAGTCGAATGTTCCAAAGCATTTACAATGTAGAGCATTCACCTTGATACCTTTAAAAGAAGAAGCATCTCAGAGTTTTACGTGGCCTTGTTATCATACACATGTGCACACAAAGAAGGGACTTGGCAGTGTCAAAGCCACATGTATTTATGTTTATTTCTCTAGATTTGCTTTACATGACACTAGACATACCAGCAAATGCCTATATACTGCTGGCGATCACTTTGTATTTCCTGGTGTTGGCATAGTTTCCTTTTCTAGGTGTAGGATCTTAGCCCAGTGCAGGGGACCTGCATCCCTTTTGGTCTCCCGCACTAACATATTTTATAGCATACATCACTCCTTTTCCTCTGTGCTTACTCAATATGCAATGTGCTGTCATTCTGTCTATTCCGCAGGATGACAGGGATGCTGTTTACCATATAGAAACCATTTTCTCTCTAGAAACAGTGGCTCAGCTTCATGAAGCAGCTGGCATGTGTGGTCAAGTGGATAGCTGAACTATTGCAAGCTGGACTTAGTATTGTATCTACTGGACCTTCAGACTGTTAAGAATCAATGTAACTTTTCTGTTGTTGTTACTACTGTTGTAAGCAACTAATATTCTACTGCACGTTTCCCACACTGGTATTCATTTCTAAATCTTATATGTAGACAGTTGTTAGTTCAATAATTTCCTCACTGATAGAACACTTTTGAATGGGAATCTTCCCACCCAAAGCCCTAAAATTATAGAATGGGAATCTTTCCACAAAAAGCCCTAGAATTATAGAATGGGAATCTTCCCACACAAAGCTCTAGAATCGTAGAATGGGAATCTTTCCACACAAAGCTCTAGAATTATAGTGCCACAGTGATTCTTCCAAACTGGCTTCTTCCTCCGTCCTCTCAGCTTTGGCCAGCACCACAGTCATGGCAGCGAACAGGTACAGAAATAAGATGGCTAAGGAAGAATAGGGCTGGGCATGGTGGTGCATGCCTTTACCCTCGCACTTGGGAGGCAGACGCAGGTGGATCTCAGTGTGTTCAAGGCCAGCCTGGTCTACATAATGAGTTCCAGGCTAGCCAAGGCTCCATAGTGGAGTCCCCATCTTAAAACAAATTAAAGACTAGTAGATGTGTTCATACTGACTCGATACCATGAGCCCACACACAGTACAAGAAATAGCGTAGTTAAAAATGCCCCACCAATATCTTTAAAGAAGAATCTACTGAGGAACGGGCGGTCGTCATTCTTGCTGAAAAAGCACATGCTCAACATTACATTTCCAAGTCACCCAAACCTGCACTGAGTACCAAGGAAGTGTTATTCTGCTTCAGTTGTGTTGCGCTTGTCTGAGCAACAAACTATGGGGAAATTCTGTGAAAACAAAAGTTCAAGACTTTTTTTTTAATGAATGACTGCTATATTAAATATACAAGCTTTTTAAATTTAAACACACTTCTGACAAGGTTATATAGGTGATTAACCTCTGTTCATAGACTTACATATGGAAGTAGAGTTTTTGTTTACTTTAAAGATGTTTCAAGTGCAATTGTTTCTTATAAAACATGATTGATTACCATGAAATTCTCACTTTAGCTGATCATCTACAAATGTATAGTATGTATCAACCGTCTCTTCTTGTGATGTTTAGTTTGCTTATTTTAAAGCAGCAACATTAGCTACAAGTGTCTTGCAATATTTTTACCAACAATAAAATTAAGTAGATACTTAATAAAAATTCCTTAGTGTGATTTTAATATTATTTTGAGATTTTGGTTGTATACAGTTTGAATGTAAAAAAAAAAGTCCATTATTTAAGGGAAAAGACCTTTCAATAAAATACTGACAAGACCTTTGGCACTGGTGAAATTTCCTTATTGAGCTGAAGTTCTGACTTATTCCAGTGGTCATCTATGAGCAATCTCTTATTTACAGAGCTTTGGAAGAACAAGAAAAGTTTCAAGTTGTTTTTAATGCTACTTTGTTTATCCTACCCCCCACCCCCGCCCCAAATACCCAGTGGATGAACATATGAACAAGCCCAGATGTTTACCTCAAGTCCAAATAGGAAGTGAGTGGTCTCAGTCTCAGATAAAATGATCTTGCAATCTCTTTTCTCTAGGCCACAGTCCAGGGGCATTGTCCTCAGCTGAGGGCCAGCTACCACAGGGTACACATTGGACTCTCTGAGCATTTGACCTGCAAAGACAACTTGGTGAAAATGATGAGGTTGGCTTGGGTTGCATAGCAGGACTGATGAAGGTCTAAAGTCACTATTATCAACTGAAAACTCTGTGTCTGTGTGTGTGTGTATGTGTGTTTCTCTCTCTCTCTCTCTCTCTCTCTCTCTCTCTCTCTCTGTGTGTGTGTGTGTGTGTGTGTAATATGGGCACTTTTGCCTGCTTAAAAATACTAAGGACCTAGGGATGTAGTCCAATGGTAGAATGCTCACCTAGCATGAACAAAGCCCTGGGTTCAAGCCCGAGCAATACACACGAGACTCCTCCCCTCCCCAACTTTGAAATAATGAACCTAAGTTGATAGATAGATCCTACCTTTAAAAACCTTTAGCTCAGTCTACAGAGATGGTCCTGGTTAAGAGTTCTTGCCTCATACAGAGGACCCAGGCTCAGTTCCTAGCATCTACATGGTGGCCCACTCCAGCTCCAGAGGCTCCCACATTTTCTTCTGGTCTCTGGAGGAAATGCACACACATGGTACACTTACATACATGCAGGTAAAAACACAAAAGATAAAAATCTTTTTTAAATTTCAGTATAATGTTAATGATATGGTCTGTTTATAACTCAAAACATGCTCCAATCCTTTCTTTTCCACAGAGATCTTTAAACCCCAAGAAACCCACAAAACACCTTAATATGTTAGGGTTCTCTAAAAAAATAGTAACTGATCAGATATATTTAGCTAGGTGGAGAGAGAAGAGAAATGAAAGGCTATCAATATACTTAATGTGGAACCTAGAGCCTAACAGGATTGCTCCAGAGAAACTGATGGTCACAAAAGCAGAGATTCCAGAACTGGTTCATGAGGTTATGGAGACTGAGAAGTGCTACTGTGTGGTGTTCGTACTCAACAGACCTGCAGAACCCATGGTATAGTTCAGTTCAGAGGCTGCGAGACCAGAGCTGATGGTGTAACCCGCAGGCCGGAGAAGCAGGGGGATACAATCGCTGCAGCTGCAGTTCCTTCCCAGGCCAGGAGCTCCGAAAATATGGTGAGCCTTGCTCAAGAAGACAATTTTCTGCCCTCTGCTGCCTCCTATGCAGGCACTCACTGTTGGCTTGACTTCAAATGCTAGCCAGTTTACAAACGACCTCATAATCCACAGCAAGAATTATGTCTTACTAGCTGTCTCTGTTCACTTGTCCATGACTGAATGTCACAGACTGACTATAATAAACACAAGTTTATTTAGTTCTCAGTTCTGTAATCTGAGGAGTTCAAGGACCGGTGGCCACATCTTGTTATGTATCCCTTACTAATAGAGACCTTCTGCAGAGTCCCAGCCAAGGTGATGCTGGACATCACATGGCAAAGCAGAGCACACAGGCCTTGGTCTCCCCTCTTACAAGTTCCAGTTCCTCAGGGTCAGCAGCATCCCCCAACACATGTACACGCACGTGCACACACACACACACATCCTCATATAATCTTAATCATCTCACAAAGGTGCCACCCCTAAGTACCATAGTAGGGTTATGTTTCCACCTTCTTAATTACACACAGTGAAGGTATTTTGGTGATTTTCAATCCAGCATCATTTTCACCGATTAAAACAGATGTTTCTAAAACATACAATTCACCACCTGTCCTAGTGAGGGCTGTTACTGCTGTGATGAGACGCTATAACCAGAAGCAAGTGAGGCTTACACTTCCATACCATAGTCCATCACTGAAGGAAGTCAGGAACTCAACCAGGGCAGGAACCTGGAGGCAGGAGCTGATGCAGAGGCCACGGAGGCGTTATGCTTACTGGCTTGCTCTTCGTGACTTGGTCAGCCTGCTAAAGAAGCCAGAAACCGTCCAGGCTGGCACCACTCACAATGGGCTGGGCTCTCCCCTATCAATCATTAATTAAGAAAATTCTGTAGAGGCTGACCTACAGCCCAATCTTGTGGAAGCATTTTTTTTTTTCAGTTGAGGTTCCCACCTCTCAAATGACTAGCTTGTGCCACATTGACATGAGACTATCCAGCTTACCATCACACTTAATTAAAAGTACTACAAAATACAGCAGGTGTGGGCTAGAGAGATGGCTCAGTGATTAAGAGCATTGGCTGCTCTTCCAGGGGTCCTAAGTTCAATTCCAAGCAACCACATGGTGGCCCAGAACCATCTGTAATGGGATCGGATGCCCTCTTCTGGCATACAGGTGTACAAGCAGATAGAGCATCGTATACATAAAATAAAAAAAATCTTAAAAGTTTATTTAAAAAAAACTATAGCAGGTGTTTTATCCTCCTTCCCTTGAAGCTCCTGCTCCTTCTTTAAGAAATAAACATGGTTGCTCTCTATTGAAGTACAGCAGACAAATTCCTTACCCAAAATAGAATCTTTAATATAAAACCATCCACATAGCTTTACAGTATTTCCAACCATCTCACACACATACATATACCTACAAGGACTACACTTGATTATCACTACACAATAAATCCAGACAGTAAACGTAATTATTTCTGCACCCAATGATAAGCATGGATCCCCAGACCACAGGAGAAGAGAAAACTTCCCCCGGGAGTGTGTGCACACTTCGCAGCTTGCCACTCTGAGCCTCAAGGATCCACAGCTTCCCGTCGGTGGATGCAGCCGCCAGCAGGGATTCGCTGCTGCAGCTCTGGTTACTGAAAGCAAAGGGAGTTGCATACACCCTCGCGGTAGTCTCAAATTTCCACTGGAGGCGACCTTCCATGCTACAGCAGTACAGAAAGCAATCATGGGAACCAAAAAGTATTTCTCGTTCTGATGCTGGGATACACGGGGATGAGAAGACTGGTCCTCCCGCAGAGAAGCGCCACACCTTCAAAGGAGAAGAGGAGGAACGATCAGTCATCCATCCAGTGCAGCCCTTCCTGCAGCCTGCAGGGTTTCCTCATACAGACAGCAGAGGTGAGAGGGGGACAACTGGGTAACTCCAGAGACCAAAACTAATGCCGGTTTCTGGAAAGCAGCTTCATTCTCCCACTGCACTGTTCCGAAGGTACAAACAAGGACAAGCAACCTTACAACGCTGTTACAATTAATTCTGAGCTGCTTGAGAATTACTACTGATATGCTCAGAGACACTGTGTTTACAGAAAAGAATTGTATTATGTCTTCAAAGTCTGTTATTAGCAATCTTGGACAGGGTGTGGAACTTGGCCTTTGTTCCAAAGCCAGCTCTAGAAAAAAGAGAAAGGGAGAAAAAAGTCTAACTCAAGTTTTCCAAGCAAAGTGAGACGGAAGCGGACTGAAGGAGTTTAAGTGTGAATAGTTAGAGCGCTAAACAGAAATCAGGGCATACAGGTGGTACATGACTTCATCCCAGCACTCAAGAAGCCTGAGCCAGGGGCTGGAGCGAGAGTTCAGTGGTTAAGAGCACCACCCGCTCTTCTAGAGGACCCGGGTTCAAATCCCAGCGCCCATGTGACAGCTCACAACTGTGTGTAACTCCTGTTCCAGGGGATCCACCACCCTCACACAGGCACTTGTGCAGGCAAAATACCAATGTACATAAAGTACAAATAAATAAATTTTAAAAATAAGAAAAAAAAAGAGGCCGAGGCAGGCAGTTCTAGGCCAGTCTGGTCTACACAGTGAGTTCCAGGACAGCAAGGGAGTCCCTGTATCAAAAGAAATTATTAAAAATAATAATATATACATACTATATATATACATATATACATACAATATATACATACTACGTAGTATGTATATGAGTCTGTGTATGTGTGTGTGTATAGTGGTGATAGAGAGTGAATGAGGAAGACACACCAATGTCAAACCTATACACCTAAAGACAGAGAGAGAGAGAGAGAGAGAGAGAGAGAGAGAGAGAAGAAAAGGAAGGAAAGATTCATCAAGCAAGGGCTGGGAATGTAGCTCAATAACAGAATAGTCGCTGATCACAACAAGTCCCTGGGTTCAGTCCCCGGGGCTGGGGGTGGGGTTACACACAGAACTAGATCACCTGCTCTCACCTGCTCTCCTGCATGAGTGAAGCAGAGCAAACTCCCGTCCACACAGCCGATGCAAACATACTGCTGGCAACACCGTGGGGAAGAGAAGAGCGGCTGTCCACAGCGGTGCTTCCAAACTACGCTCCCAGCAGCCTGTTGTGACCAAAGCAATTGAGAGCAATGAAGATGATTTACTAACCAAGCACCTTTACCATTTTAAGGTTGCATTTATTGATTGATTGATTTACTGTGTGCATACACATGTATGTGTGCACATGCACGTGCCACAGGGCACACGTGGAGGCTGCAGGACAGCTTGTGGGACTTGCTTCTCTCCTTCCATCATATGGGAAGGAGCCTGAACTCCAGCTGTCAGGCTTGGCAGTAAGTGCCTTTACCTGTGGAGCCACTTTACAACAAACCACAAATCTTCAAGGCTGGAGCTAAGCAGCAACAGTGACTGTCGATGACGCTGGCACGCTCACACACGCACACACATGTATGTGCACACACACGCATGCATGCGCACACACATGCACACGGAGTCAGAAAATCAGTGCTGCTTCTCAGAGCCAAGACAAAAAGTCAGCCCTGAACATAAAACAAATCCAAAACTAACACAAAGACCTAGCTTTAAGTTTTATTTTCCTAGGTTTTTCAAGACAGGGTTTCTCTGTGTAACAGCCCGACTGTCCTGAAACTCACACTATAGACCAACCTGGCCTCAAACTCAGAGATCCGCCTGCTTCCACCTCCCAGGTGCTAGGATTAATGGTATATGCCACCACTGCCTAGCTAAAATCTATCTTTAGAAAGGAAAAACAACCAGGCGGTGGTGGCACACACCTTTAATCCCAGCACTCGAGAGGCAGAGGCAAGCTTGGTCTACAAGAGCTCGTTCCAGGACAGGCTCCAAAACTACAGAGAGAAACCCTGTCTCAAAACAAAACAAAAAACAAAAAAAAGGAAAAACAATTTTAAAATTAGAAAAAAAAAAAAGAACAAGACCTCTCTCCTTCAATAGACAAGAAGTTTTTTTTGTTGCTGTTTGTTTTTGTTTTGCTTAGTTTTTTTAGAAATGGCCTCACCATGTAGCCCAGGCCGGAATACTATGTAAACCAGGCTAGCATGGAATTCTCAGTGATTCACCTGTCTTTGCCCCCACGTGCTGGGATTAAAGTGTTCACCACGGTAAGGGACAGACAAGAAGTTCTTAATATAACTGAGAAAATCCTGTCTAACAAGGTTACAGTCTGGAGAGGACTCAGTGACGAAGTCCACATGCTATTCTTGCAGGTGACCCAGGTTTGGTTCCCAGCACCCACACTGTAGCTCGCAACCACCTGTGATTCCAGTTCCAGGGGATCCCATGCCCTCTTCAGGCACCAGACGCGTGTTACACATACAAATAAATCTTTTTAAAGGCTAAAAATAACTAAAGAAACAAATACAATAAAAACATGATACATGCTACCTTGTTTTCCCAAATAATTCCAATGATTTTAAGTGAATTCTTACTCATTAATATGTGGATTATATTTAACTGAAAAGTACTCAAACTTTTAAACGTCAAAATCAGAAATAAATATAGGAGCTAAATTAACAGTGGCTGTATGCCTACAGGATTTATAGCCAGTAAAAGCCCCCGCAGCGTAGCACAGTACAGGTGATGTGGCCTCAGGCTCAAACATGGAGAAGAGAAGAGCATCCCGCCACAGTTTAGCTTCCAGACACACTTCTTTTCCTGAAAATAAGAATTTGAATTAATTAGGTGGTGCTCATTGCTAACAAGTCCACATACAACATAGCTAAGTTCTGGTTTATGTTCCTTCTGGAGCTGCTGCGACTGAACCAGTGCCTTCCTCATGCTGCACCAAGGAGCAGGAGCAGCACCCAGAGGAATGCAGGCTGCTCTGCTCTTCTCCCCTGCCCTCCCTATTCACTCACTCAGAATCCTCCCGCCTCAGCCTCCTCAGTGCTGGGACTTGAGGCAAGGACCACCATGCCGGGTAAGATAGCACAGAGCAGCAAAGGACGTCACTGATACTGATGACTGATAACACACTACCATTTTCCCTTTTTGACTTGATTGACTGGTGTGTATGTGTGCATGCTCATGCATGTGCATGTGTGTGCCCCTCATGGATGTGCATGTGTGCATATACTCATTCTGAACACACAACTCAGTATGTTTCCTTCACTGATTTTACAAAATGTCTTAAAAATAATTTCAAAGCATTATATTCAAAATAATCTCTCTTCCTGATCTAAAAACTGTTAGAAACCAATTACTCAATCTTATGAACAACTTGGTGCATATATTGATGTTTCTGATGATTTTGCCAGGGTGGAATCAAAGATTATGAGAATTCCACAGCCACACTACTCTACATTTACTTCCTGTGCACTACTGATTACATCACTATGTGCACATAACTGAGCCTCTCGAGTGCTGGGATAATACACATGCCAGCTAGTTTGTATGGCTGGAGACATGGAGCTCAGGGCTTCGTGTATACTGGGCAAGCACTGTACCAGTGAGCTGTATCCCAGCCCTCAAACTTTCCTCCTGTGTCCTCCCGTCCACAAGCTGCTACCTCTCGGGGACGCTGACTGTCAATCACTGTAATCTCTGGGCTTCCATATCTCAGTGTCTCATTTCATTGCTCCGAGTACTGAAGTTCTGAAACATTTATGTCCTCGGCAGCTTCCTCCTGTGTGTTTATGCTCTTGTTTTTATTTTCTAGCTGGGTTTTTCTAATCACTTATATTTACTCTTTATTTCTATTTATACCAGTGAGCTTTGATTCACTGTTATTTCAAAAAAAATTGCAGCTTCCTTATAATTTTTATATAAATTTGATATTTTCATGTAATGAGAGCTTAAAATAGCTTTTTTTCTGTTATGGTCATTCTGAATGCCTCATATTGCAGAAATTATTTGAAAGATAAAAATGCCTAAAGATGTTTAAATTTGACTAACCACTTCTTTCCAGACTAAATGTTATACTTGGGCTATAGTTAATGTCTGCTTCCAGACTCAAGCACGTGTTACAGCGACATGCACCTCTGTGTTTACAGTGTGGCACAGACGCAGCGAACTCTTACATAAATGTCTAGAGCGTACGCATGCTGGTCATGAGACCCAACATAAATGCGTCCTGTGGTGGGGTCCACGGCTGGCGAGCTTTTGACAGCATCTTCGGTAGTAAACGCCCAATATTTTTCTCCACTCTTACTTTTTAAAACATAAACTAATCCATCATAGCAGCCTACAGAGAAACAAAATATAAACAATGAGATTAAGATACACTGATAAAAATACTTAGTCTAAATAATGACAATTTATATTCATGATCTTCTTATATATGTCTGTTCTTGCACCTGACATAGCTCTCAGCAAACATTGAGCAGAACCTGACGAGCACAGACCTGTAAAATCCTGACTTGTGCTGGTCTGGGGACGCAGGCCCCTCACCCAGCCCTAGGCTTCAGCCCCGAGTGCTGAGTTACAGGTGGACACCTCCGCACCTAGCAGGCCCTTGTTTGTAATAGTACTGCGGGCCAACAAGACAGTCAGTAGAGACACTTGCCACCAAGCCTGACGTCAGGATACCCAGAACAACATGGGGGAAAGAGACAACCAACAAGTAGTCTCTCACCTCCCGAGCACACAGACACACTCACACCGACAGAACTGGGTTCAAATCTGCCCAGGCTGTGACTGGATACACTGTGTGTCACAGCCTCGGGTGTCTCTCCTTTTACCCGACAGTTACTCTAACAGTACAGATGCTCAGAGCTGTTGGAGAAAAGCTAGCATGAATAACAACCAATGGCCACTGCGCATTTCCTATGTATGGGGCTTTTTCTTTTGAGACCGGGTCATTAGCCCAGGCTAGCCTCAGGTATCCTAAGACCTCCTCAGTGCTGGGATTGCAGCTGTGCATCATCACACCATCTGGTTTATACCGAGACCTGGGCACACGGAATCAGACGGAGTGGATGGGATCTGAGGACAGCCATTAGCATGGCTTCAACTGCCTACACGTTACATGGTTCTGTCCACGGCCAGGTCATTGTTCTTGAGATTTAATTTCCAAGCTATTTTCTGTGTGGTCATCACTGAAGAGCTCCGTGTGCGCCTTGCGGTGTACCAATGGATGGTTGGCCTTGATGAATCCTGCCCAGAACTCTTTGAGAGTTGTCATAGGTTTAAAATACAGCCATACATTCTTAGACGTTCTTCCAGAAATGGAAACTAATTCTCTCCCCTGAGCAGGGACTGGACCTGGTGATCTATGTTTAATGAACACAATTAAGCAAAAACGATGGTCTCCAGTTGTAGAGCCTAGGTCTTTAAAAGGAACCCTGTGCTCTTGTGGCTTTCTCTTTGGGATCACCCGCTCTGAGGGAAGTCAGATGCGGTGTCGTGCAAATAAATGTTCAGACAGCTATAGAGAGAGGTTCATGTGGCAAAACCTGAATCTTTTTGGCAAAACCCAACCGAGAACAGAGGCCCTGTGCTGACAGTGCTGTCTGTGAGCCGTCTTGACAGCAAACCTGCCACTCCACATAAAGCCCTTACAGAAGCATGAGACCTTGATCATCAGCTAAGTATCTCCCAACTTCCTGACCCAGGGACACTGCAGCGGGTCAGTGGGTTTCAACGTATGTGTGCCACAGCATCATGCGCTATTACGGTTTCCGTTTCTCCATGAGAAAAGTGAGGTGGTAAATTCAACAACTTGCCAAAGTCAGAGTATAACAGTACAGAGCTAAGCTTCCATCTGGGTCTCACACTGAAAATGTATGCATGTGCGTGTGCGCGTGTGCGTGCGTGCGTGTGTGTGTGTGTACACAATTTAACTCTATAAACCTCAGATTCAGAAGCTTACCCACTACAATAAAGTTTCCACACTTGGACACGCATGCCGAGGATTCAATTCGGTCTCCCAGGAGCTGTTCCCACCTCGTCTTCCCAGAGTAAAGGTCGACTGCTTTCACTCTGTGGGAGTGGGAGCCGATGTACACAGTTGTGGATGACGGATCGGCAGCTGCCATCACCAGCAGAGGGGATGCATCTACGCATTTGCCTGTGTCTGACCGCCACCTCTCTCGCAACACCATCTCAGCCCCTGCCGTAGGTTTCCCCTCCTGAGAAAATGGTGGCTTTTTCAACTTCTCCTCAGGAACTGGAGGACTTAAGTCTTTTGGTACTTGAGTGTCAGTCTGTGGGATGAAATCAGGAGGACAGACTGACGGGCAGTGTCCTAACTTAGTTAAATGCCCCCAAGTGCCCAGAGACAGGAGCTGACTCCCTCTGCTGAGAGCAATCAGAGCGTTTGTCTCGCTGTCGTGGGCAAAGGGCAAGGCTGGCTCCAGCTGTGCAGGCTTGCCGCTGGCTTCCTCTGGGGCCGTGTCACTGAGTTTCCTTTTCGTGGCACAGCCCTTGCTAACTTTCAGGTCCTCCTGTGCAAACAGGGTCTGAACGATGTGGTTGTGCACCTCTAAGATAGGTCTGCTGAGAATAAGCTCCAGGAGCCCAGGCATGGATGTGCCAGTGAGTTTTTCAATCTCATTGAGGAGCCACGTGGACTTGAGGGAATCTCCGCCGCTATCTAAGAAGACTGAGTCCTCGGGAACCTTCCAAGCATCCTCGGGGTCCCCAGGGAGACTCAGAATAGACTACACACAGAGAGGGAGAAACACGATAAGAGGCCCGAACCATAGGACTGCACATGTAACAAGTGATACAGAGCTGCCAGGGCCTACAACACAGACAGCATCATAAAAATCGCTAACAATTAAGATAAGCTAAAAATTGTTTTTTCCGTTCTAATGATTATCATTATACCACCAACTCTGACACAGATTCACTCTATAATCTCTAAATATAATGCCCTTCAGAGCAGTTTTCCTACCCATAAAATAAGGACTAGGTCACAGAAACATATGCTTTACCAACTAGTCCCTAAGATCCCCATGGCTGATATTCCCTACATGGAAGAATACTGTCCACTTCATATAGTTCAAACTGCCTCACAGTGAGTGATAGCAACACAGTCCTCAGTTTTTAAGACTAACCAAATGCATCCGCTTCACAGAACCGTTCAAAAAATCTACATCTTTTTCCTGCTGTTGTTTTCAAGACAGGGTTTCTCTGTCCTGGAATTCGCTCTGTAAACCAGGTTGGCCTCGAACTCACAGAAATCCACCTGGCTCTGCTTCCCAAGTGCTGGATTAAAGGCCTGGGACACCAACGCCTGCTGAAAAATCTACATCTTATCTAAAGAAAATTTGCTGACCTATTGGGACACATTAAAAAATGCCTGAGCAGTAGCACAGAGCTACTGCACGTTTCTCAGGACTAATGACAGAGCCCAACATGCGATGGCCAGCCCACCCAGTAGAGCACGCGATGGCCAGCCCACCCGGTACAACCCACCCGGTAGAGCACGTGATGGCCAGCCCACCCGGTAGAGCACGCGATGGCCAGCCCACCCGGTAGAGCATGGTTCTAACGCGGCGAGAACACAGGCACTGCACTGCCTCTCCAGAGAAAAGTCACGTCAGTAGGCAAGGAGACACGAGCACCTTTTAAACTAGCTCCCTTTCAATGAATGTCTTTGTGAGACAGTTACTTAAACACTCTAACCTTTAGTATGTACTAACTAGACTAAGGAAGACATGCTACTTGGCATCTGGGCAGAAATAACGTTTTTAAATCATTTTTACTGGTTTACTAGGAATACTAAAATTCCCTACAAAGAATGAATTACAGAAATAAGTTTGTATTTAAGAAACTGTACCTTCCATAAATGCTGTAATTTTTCCCAAAGTTCCTCTTTTCCATGGATCTTATTCCTAGGCTCCGAGTTTATGTAGTCTAAATATATCTTGTTTAATTCAGAAACATCAATTTTTCCTTAGTATGAAGAGAAATAACAAACATTAAAATAACATTTAAACTTTAACCATGCAGCTGGGGGTATAGCCAAGCAGTGGAAGATGTGTTCAGCCCCTACATGGGCCTAGGCTTGATCTCACCCCATAAAATAAGCAAATTAATTTTGCCCCAGAGTCACTATGTTTATTAGCTACACACTCTTCACTGTAAAGCTCAGAGATCACAGAGAACAGAGAGTCAGTTCTGAAGGCCAATGCTATGAAGACAAGAGTGAAGGAGACGATCTTTATCCATGGTAAAAGGCTCAAGGCGTGGTCTCGAGTATGCGTTAGATAAAAATGCCATGGGTAAGGAACTATCAAGAATGTGTATACACACACACACACACACACACACACACACGATGCACATTAAAATGTGTCTGTGTGTTCTGTGTAAGTCAACACAACTCTAGGGACTTGACTGTCTCCATCGCAGCATCAAGTTATTAACCCACCAGGCTGGTGCCGCAACCATGTTTACTACCGAGACATCTCTCTAGCCTCATAGGTTTTTTGTTTGTTTGTTTTGGTTTTGGTTTGCTTTTTTTTTTAAAGCAGGATCTTATGTAGCTCAAATTGGTGTCAAGCTTGGTAATCCTCTTGCCTCAGCTTCCCCAGGGCTGGGATTACAGGTATGTGGCCCTCCCTGTGTCTGAATTTAGGAGTATATATTTTGCAGCCTGGGTTATGCAGTGAAATCAAGGCTATTCTGAAATATACATCAAGACCCTGTTGCCAAAAGGGAATATAATTTGAAGCTAAGTAGTATTAGGCAGAATTTCAGGTCTACCACTGTGATGATCCATTTTATGTGTCAACTTGAATGGTTCGTGGGATTGGCCCACTGTTTAACATTGACCAAGCACTGTTTCTGGGCACATCTATAATGAGTGTTCAGGATAAGATCAGCGTATGAACCAGGGGACTCAGTAAAGAAGACTGTCTTCCCAAACCGGCTGATCTCAGCCCAGCCCTTGGAGGACAGGACAAAATGTAGAAGGGGACGGTGTAGGAAATTCACCTTTGCTTCATCCTCACTGTTGTGCTGGGAGACGCCCTGCCTGCAGTGTTTAAACCGTTGGCTCCCCTGACTCTCAGGTCTCAAAACTCAGAACTCAGCCCCAGCTTTCTTAGGACCCCCTCCAGTTCGCAGTCACAGTGCGAGACCTTCTGAGCCACAACAGTCAGTTCCTGATAGTATTTTTATATTCCTATCTCAACTATCTCAACTTGAGTTCTGTTTCTCTTGTGACCCCTGAGAACCATTGTCTAGCTGTGATGGCTGACCTTCATGGCCATCCTGACTGGATTCAGAGTCACCTAAAAGGCTGAGGAACACCCCTGGGTGTGTCTGTGAGGACGTTCAGGAGGATGAACGAAGCAGGAAGGACCACCCCTGAATTTGGAATAAAGGAAAGGAGACAGACTGTCTTCACCCCTCTGCTTCCTGGCCTGCCCTCACATGACCGAGCTGTCGCTGCAGCTTTCCATCTGCGGCAGACAGACACGTGATGGAGCTGCGAGGACAAATCTTTCCTCCTTTAGCTTCTTCTGTCGGGTATTGTCAAGTTTGCACAAATAATTAATACTCAGCACAGTGGTCTGGGGGGAAATTGCCTACATGCAAATCAGAATACCACCAGCCCACAGGAGTCTCTCCAGGGATTACAGAGGCTGTTAGACTAATCCAGCACGGCACACCTCTGCTTTAGTCACTTTACCATGGCACGTAAATGGCAGAGCATCAATCAACACCATGTCATCTGGGAGAGCGTGAGTTGGAAGGCGTTTCCGCAGTTCTTTAAAGATGCTATCCTTTACTACATCAGCTTTGGCTACGACGAAGAGAATCAACTTTTCCTGATTATACCACGTAACTGCACAGGATTCCACCGGGGGAAGTTCTTCAGCCACCTGGAAGAGAGATTATCCTCACTTACTAATGGGGACATCTAGAAATGGGCTCCTGAATGCTGGGATTTGCTGTACTGTACTGATTTAAAATCACTTCAGCTGAATTCGCTTCCAGAAAATACCTGAGTTTTTTTT